AGAGCATGGTCCAGAGAAACTCCCAGGTATTTTGGTGTGCTGTAATGCTCCAGTGGGATTCCTTCCCTGGTAATTCTCAGAGCTCAAGATGCTTGTCTGTTCTTAAGATGAAAATCACACATCTGCATTTTAGATGGGTTAGGAATTAGTTGGTTTTCCCTGTAATGGGCAGTAAGAGCACCTAAAGCTTTGGAGAGCTTCTGTTCAACCATTTCAAAGCTCCCTGCTTGAGCATTGATGGCACAATCGTCAGCATAGAAGAAACTCTCTGTCTCTTCTGGCAGCAGCTAGTCATTGGTGTAAATGTTAAACATTGATGGAGCAAGCACACTCCCCTGAGGCAAGCCATTCTTCTGTTTTCACCATCTGGCCGTGGAACTCAACAAAAAAGCTCCTGTTTTGAAGCAGATTTCACATGAAGTGGATGAGGTGGTAGTCCTTTGTGATATTATAATTTTTTCTTAGGAAAAGGTGATGATTTACAGTATCATATGCTGGTCAAAGGACATTTAGCATGATACCAAGTTTTTTAAATTTTGTGTTTTTTTAAATGCATTGTAACTGTACCATCTATTGGCTTCAGACACGCTAAACAAATAAATAAATAAATATTATTTCTTGCCCACCTCTCCTTATGGATTGAGGTGGGTTACAATGTAGTTAAAACACATAATCATTGCAAACATTCTATAAAATATACATATTTACATAAATATAAATAATATACAAAATGGTGTACCAATAGTTTAGTCATACCTTGGGATGCTAAGGATAGTTTACAAATTGAATTTGATTTATGAAGGTTATAACATAATTTGGGGGGTTGCATGTTTGTCGTTCTAATATAAAGCAAGGATTGGAAATGTTTTAGCCCAAGGGCCAAGTGACTACAAGTGACTACACATGTCAACAGGAACATTCCAGTGCTGACATATGGATCCCATTTCATTCCTCCTTTTCCTCCTCACCAAAAGTATACATTGACCCAACCCAATAACTGATCAATACAACAGGATCTTTAAATCTGGAAGGGAAACGGGCTAAAGCAGTGGTTCCCAACTGGTGGTCAGTGGACCACCAGTGGTCCGCAAGAACGAAAATATGGCCCACGGCCTCACCATTACTACTCCATTGCCTCGAAACCACACGGTTGCAAGAGCAATTGGACTCTCGAAACACTCTCACAATAGGGATTTCAAGAGAGGAGATACTGACTAACTATGAAAGATCACTACTACCACATCAGCTCTAGATTATTAAGTATGGTTTTCTGTGGGCAAGCAGATAGCAACTACTGGATGTATCAGAAACTCGAGTTGATGTAGTCTATCCAATGCAATTTTCTGAATCAGCGCTTCAAATAACCAAACCAAATCTAAAGTTGACCAAAAACTGATTTGTAACCCTTTTGCCACTAATGTTGGAGAGAGACCCCTGGTAAATTGGTTCCTGGTCAAGTGGTCCCTGGTCAAAAAAAGGTTGGAAACCACTGGGCTAAAACCTTGGCAGGACCTGGTGGACAAACTGATGATGACAATTGGAAGTCCCCTAATAGGCCATATCAGATCTTTAGGTTAATGGTATACTTGATATACAGTCTCTTTTGCTCTTATCCTTAACGTTGTTATACGACCTATGCACTTTACCCATTAGCCCTATCCTCTGAATTGTGGTGTGCCAGTCCCCCCACACATATCGAGACTTGAATTATGTTGTTGTTGATTTGATGCTTGTTTTATATTTTGTTATAATGTTGTTTTAAATTGATGTTATGCATTCTAATGTGCTACATTTTAACTCTGTTGATTGGGTTTGGCCCCATGTAAACCGCCCTGAGTCCCTATGGGGAGATGGCGGCGGGGTATAAAGATAAATTATTATTATTATTATTATTATTATTATTATTATTATTATTATTATTATTGCAAAAGTCCTGGTTATTCTTTTGTCATATTTTATATATTGGTAAATGAACCCTTTAGTGCATAAATCTGAATCATTCAGACTGACATTCGTTTTGAAATTCTTATAAATACCGGGATCGTGTCACATTTTAGGCTAGCTACTTTTGAGTCTTTGAATTTTGGTAAGACGCCTAAACGTTTTCTTAACTCTCTTTCCAGTTGAAATAAATGGGATTTGACATCCTGGGAAGAGTAATATACAAGTAACATAGTATATAGTAACATAGTATACAGGTAACGTGCACCCCTTTGTCGTTCTGCATCTTTGCCTTCAAGCCAGTGAGCTTTGTCTCCACCCAAAGATTTCCCTGCGCTGCCGAAGATCTCTTGCAATAACAGAGTTAGAATAACCACGAAGTTCTTCCACAGACAGTCTCTGTCATTGTCAAAGTCGATTTTCGACTGCTGCGGTTATTCCTGGGGGTAATCAATAAATCATGTCATCACCTTCACCCCTCTCAAAGTGGTGGAAGAAAAAGCACTTCATCATCAAGGAAAAAGCATCCCCACTGCTACAAATGAAAGGAGAAATGCAGCAATCAATCCTCTAATCTGAAGCCTTAAAATTTAAACATCTTAACAAGATGTAAAGTCATGACTCAGGAGGGGGGCGTAATGCATACCAATACACTTGGCTCCTTGGCAGATGAAAGGGCTCCACAGGCTTGCAACTTATTACATTACAGGATGCTGCTTATAGTGAATGTTTCTTGCTCTCTGCAGGAAAATCTAGTGCACGAATAGGAGCTGAAGGTTGAAATTAAGCGAGGGATGTCTCTTCAGAGCCCCTTAAATTTTGATAGTACTCACTCCAGCATACATACTTATTGAATTAATACTTCTTTCAGGCATTTCAGGAGAGGGATTTCTTTCGACTGTCAAAATCGTTAGTCGTGAGAGCTAAGTTACTTGTTGGTAAAGCTGAATGAAACCTTAATTTAGGACTGTCAGAAATTGGCCTAAGTTCAGTTGTTTGCCCCAACTAGAGTAGAACCATTAAATCATTGCAGTTTCACACACATGCTGTTTCATCTTATTCCTATTTATTAATTTGGATTTGGGTCCTTATGTTGTATAGCATTTCTCAAATATGACTGAGGTAAGAAATGTGAAAAGTGACAATATATATAGTTAAGATTGAACATAAGATAAAAGTGATAGACAGCTGTATTGTCGAAGCCTTTAATGGCCGGAATCACTGGGTTGTTGTAGGTTTTTTGGGCTGTATGGCCATGTTCTAGAGGCATTCTTTCCTGACGTTTCACCTGCATCTATTGCAAGCATCCTCAGAGGTTGTGAGGTCTGTTGGAAACTAGGAAAATTGGGTTTATATATCTGCGGAATGTCGACTGGGAGAAAGAACTCTTGTCTGTTGGAGCTAGGGGTGAATGTTTCAGTTGGCCACCTTGATTAGCATTTGATGGCCTGATAGTTTGTAGGGGTGGCTTGTTACTGCCTGGTGGAACCCTTCGTTGAAAGGTGATTAGCTCTCCCTGATTGTTTCTTGTCTGGAGTTCCCCTGTGTTTGAGTGTTGTTCTTTATTTACTGTTAACATTTTAGAGTTTTTTAGTACTGGTAGTCAGATTTTGTTCCTTTTCATGGTTTCTTCCTTTCTATTGAAATTGTCCACATGTTTGTGGATTTCAGTGGCTTCTCTGTGTAGTCTGACATGTTAGTTGTTAGAGTAGTCCAGCATTTCTGTGTTCTCAGATAATATGCTGTGTCCAGGTTGGTTCATCAGGTCCTCTGCTATTGTTGACTTCTCTGGTTGAAGTAGTCTGCAGTGCCTTTCATGTTCTTTGATCCATGTTTGGGCAAAGCTGCTGCATTTGGAGGTCCATATGTAGACTTGTCCACAGCTGCATGGTATCCGGTAGACTCCTGCGGAGGTGTCCTTTGCTGAACGTAGCATTTGTTGGATTTTCTTAGTGGGTCTGTAGATAGTTTGTAGGTTGTGTTTCCTCATCAGCTTCCCTATGCAGTCAGTGGTTCCCTTGATGTATGGCAAGAAAACATTTCCTCTATGTGGATCTTTGTCTTTACTTGATAGAAAACTATTTCCTAACCTTTTGACAAGCATGAACTCATTTGAAAAACCGATGAATACTATGAGCCCTTCAATACCAATAATCCTAACAACAACTTTTGAAGTTACAAGACAGAAAGTGAAGGGCAAATGGGGTGTGTGTCTTCTTGTTTCACAGAGTTCTTCAAGCCACAATTGGAGTATATAATTTAGGGGGCATATTTTATTGGTTTAGGTAGGAGAAAAAGAAAGAGATATGACAGCTATATTAATGAAGGACAGGTGAGATATAAAAGTAACAAATGAGGTGCAAAGCAGACTTCATTTGTAATAATATTTAACCCTTTATTAGTGGTAGTGGAAAGGAAACTATACTTAATAAATGTGATTTACTTTATAAACTATTGGGTGAACAGTATCTCCCTCTATGAACCATCTAGGAGGTTAAGATCATCTGTGGAGGCCCTGCTCTAGGTCCCACCTCCTTCGCAGGCACGACTGGTGGGGATGAGAGGAAGGGCCTTCTCAGTGGTGGCCCCTCGTCTGTGGAACATCCTCCCCAATGAAATTAGATCAGCCCCTTTTCTCCTAACCTTCGGGGGGGGGGGACTTAAGACGTGGCTTTGGGACTAAACTTTTGACAACTAATTTGGAACAGTGCAATAAGTGATTATGAATCAATGTGATTGACAAATGGAACGGCCCTGGATTATGATTTGGATGGTGTGGTTTTAATTTATGTTTAATAATTGATGTTTTAATTGTAACTGTTTATTTTAATATATGTATATATGACATTGAATTGCTGTCTGTTGTAAAGCTGCCCTGAGTCCACTTTGGGGTGAGAAGGGCGGGTAAATATGGTAAATAAATAAACTCAAGATTGGGTTTTCCTGGATCTGAGATGGTTGAATGTGATTGCTGTAATGCAGTGTATAATTCTAAAGCAAAATGAATGGTTTCTCCATAACTCATAATCGAAGGAATCTTTTTCATTGCTTTTGCTCAGGTGTTGACTTGCCAAGAAGAGTGAGTCACCTGCTTGAGGAGAAGGCTGGAGGTGTGTCTGCTGCAGTATCTGATGAATCTGTCGCGGGAGACAGCGGTGTATACGAAGCTTCTGTAAAACAGTAGGTTATCTAGAAGTAAAATTCAGGCATCTTCCTTCGTGATATCCAGATACATGCACCAATTTGAAAAACTAATATGGAAATTGAGTCAAAATTAATTCAACTTGTGTTGTTGTTTTCATTAAAACACATCTATTGTCAGTGATATAGGTAGTAGTAAACACAAACGGGGGGCACAATGGTGCAGCGGGTTAAACCACTGAACTGCAGAACTTGCTGACAAGAAGGTTGGTGGTTTGAATTCGTGGGACTGGGTGAGCTCCCATTGTTAGCCCTAGCTTCTGCCAATCTAGCAGTTGTAAAACATGCAAATGTGCGTAGATCAATGCAGGCCACATGACCTTGAAATGGAGATGAGCACCACAACCCAGAGTTGGACTCGACTACACTTAATGTCAAGGGGAATCCTTTACGTAAACACACTGCAATTCTGCAACTGATGTCTTAAACAAAACCTTAAGTGGTTGCCACAACATATTATTTTAATCAGATGTGGCAACAAAAATATGAGGGTGCAGACTGAAATGTGCAAGAAATAAGAAAAGGGGAGCTGAAAAGAAGTCACTTTAAAGGCACCCAAGAGCGAAAGGATACCAATGTTCACCTAAATAAAGTTCATAAGGTTAACTACAGTAGGCCCATTCCATCAAATGTTGAATGGTGAGACAACACATAAACCTCATGGACTGAATGTATCTATTTGTCAGGACTAAAATCGTATATATACTTTTGGGAAATCAGTGTTGGATATCCCCGGTGCCATCCCCACTACCTCCCTTTAGACGGCCTTCGGATAATCTCATGGGTTGAGTTGGGTTTTAATAACTACTTGTATGTGGTTTTTAGCCTAAATTTTAAAATTTGTTGAAGTATGAAGCATGTAAGCCCTTAGGTTTGGCGTGGATGTGTGGGACTGGGTCCCCCTGTTATGATCTGGTCATTGACCGTAATAAAGTTTACTTACTTACTTACATTTGATGCATAATTTACATTATAAAATTGTACTGGTTCAAACACCAAAGCAAAGCAAGTGTTGTGGGTGACTTTCATTTTCTAAAAGTTTTAATTTCAGAGATTTTTTAAAATGAAGAGGGGATGAGACTCCGGCTGGAATCCTCTCAATGACATACTACCGCGAAGCCCTTTCTGGAGTGTTGTGAAGAACCAGCAGGGAGATAGATAGATAGATAGATAGATAGATAGATAGATAGATAGATAGATACTTCTCTTTCATCAAGGCATATAGGTGGCAGCAGGACAGCCTTTACTTTGAACGACGACCACTTCCTATGCTGTCCCTCTGTCTTCTTGGTGTTATGCCTCCAGCCATTTTGCTGCCTCCACTGATGGATTTATGCTGGCCAAAAGGATGACAGCCACTTCGTGCTGCCCTCAGCTTGTTTGAAAGAGGTCATCTTAAAATATATAGAGCAATAATTTACAATCGTAATGGATGAAGCTAGCAGTGATTCCTTTTAGCAAAGAAGTAAGAGTAAAAGAAAGCTGACCCAATATTTTATTGGCAATCAAAAATGCAAATATAATCTCAAAATATATATATAGCTAACTTCAAAAACAGAGGATTTCTTTCTTTTTTAGCTGTTGATGTGAAGTTTTGTTTTGTTTTTTAAACCCTTTTTGCACCTCTCTTTATCTTGTCAAATCAAGTCCATTTACAATAAATCAAATAAATGAGCTAGTAGATAATAAAGAGGGAGCAGTATTATAGAAAATTTGATGCAAATTGTATACTCAGAAAAAGAGGCATTTACCATTCACCTAAAATCTCTTTAAAAGCTCATGATGGAAATTATAAATGATGATAGCACGTTAAAACTAGGTTCTGAGACAACTTAACAATTTGTGAGATAAATGTTGGCGTTACTTATTAAAATCTCTAAAGAAGTCACTATTTTCTGCCACTTTGATAGCTTCAGTACACATGCCTTCACAAATTGTTTGACTATACTGTACAAATGAATCAAGTGAGGCTCACCAAGTTAGGTTTGGGGTGCATTTCCCATAGTCCTCAACCACCATGAGTGGGGGCAGGAGCAATAGGAGCTATTGGCAAGCATATATAGCGAAAGCCAGACCCAGTATTTTATTGGACACTAGCTGTACCCGCCACACGTTGATGTGGCCAACCTTCCTTCCCTCTTTCTCTCCTTCTTTCACTCCTTCCTTCGCTCCTTCCTTCCTTCCCTTTTCTTCTTTCCTTCTCTCCTCCCTTCCTTCCCTCCCTCCCTCTTTCCTTTCTTCCCTTTTTTGCTTTCCTTCTCTCCTTCCTTCTTTACCTCGTTCCTTTCTTCCTCCCTTTTTCTTTTCCTTCCTCTTCCTCTCCTTTTTTCCTTCTCTACCTCTTTCCTTCCTTCCTTCACTCTTTGCTTCCATGCTTCTTTCTTTCTTTCTTTCTTTCTTTCTTTCTTTCTTTCTTTCTTTCTTTCTGCCCTTCCTTCCTTCTTTCTTTCCTCCCTCCCTCTTTCCTTCCCTTTTTTCTTTCCTTTTCTCCTTCCTTCTCTATCTCTTTCATTCCTTCTTCCTTCTCTACCTCTTTCCTTCCTTCCTTCACTCTTTGCTTCCATGCTTCTTTCTCTCTTTCCTTATTTCTTGCCCTCCCTCCCTCCCTTTCTTTCTTTCTTTCTTTCTTTCTTTCTTTCTTTCTTTCTTTCTTTCTTTCTTTCTTTCTTTCTTTCTGCCCTTCCTTCCTTCTCTCTTTCCTCCCTCCCTCCCTCTTTCCTTCCCTTTTTTCTTTCCTTCTCTCCTTCCTTCTCTCTTTCATTCCTTTTTCCTTCTCTACCTCTTTCCTTCCTTCACTCTTTGCTTCCATGCTTCTTTCTCTCTTACCTTTTTTCTTGCCCTCCCTCTCTCTCTCTCTCTCTCTTTCTTTCTTTCTTTCTCCCCTTCCTTCCCTTTTTTCTGTTTCGTCATTTAGCTTTTTGGGTTTTTTCAGTCCTTTTCTCTGTTTTTTGGGGGGTTTTATGAGTGATGGTCACTTGTCAGTCTGTTGGGGGTATAGTGTCCGAATTTCATGTCAGTTCATCCAGTGGTTTTTGAGTTATGTTAATCCCACAAACCAACATTACAATTTTATTTATATAGATGAGATCATGACTTGGCATTTTAGATGGTTTTTAATCTGTTTGATTGATTGATTTGTACTTTAATTGCTTATATATTTAGATTGTTTTATATTTTGTTGAGATGTATTTTATTGTTTATCTGTGCGGCATTAAAGTTTTGCCGGATTTGTAAACCACCTTGAGTCCCCTTTGGGGTCAAGTAAGGCGGGGTAGAAATGAAGTAAATAATAAAAAAGCCCGCCTCAGTGCTGCTGTATAGCTATCCTCAGCTCTTTGTATCTGTTCTCTAGACCAAATGATGGTGAAGAAGTTGCATATAGTGAAGATGATGCCACAGCCCTAGAGACAGCTCAAGTGCAAATAGGACTCAGGTAAGCCACCATACGTAGAGAGCATCTAATGACAATGCCAAAAGTATTACAAGTGTTGAATGCAGATTTCCTCTCCATCCTTCTTCACAGATATGATACAACCAGCTCGAGTTTTGTGATAATTGTGGTTCGATTACAAAATCTTCACGCCCTTTCTGTGTCACCTGGCTCCAAAGTGTAAGTAGAATGCTCCTTAAATTATTCCAGCACTGAGAATGGAGAATTTTTGAGAAAAACTAAGATTTTTAGGGGGAAATCAGTGCATTTATCAGTCTTTGGTTACATGGAACATAACTATTACATTGAGAAATTGTCTTCGAGAACAGTAGGATCATAAAGTGCAATTCTCCTCCCTTGATAGCAGGAAGGCATTCAGAGTGCAGTGTGTCCCAGAGCTCTTCCTGTCAATGAAAAGAAGAAAAACTTACTAAGTTAAATGTCTTTTTTCCCACTGTGATCTTTGTGCATCACACATAGGGGATCTGCACCTATACAGAATGGTTCTCAACCTGTGGGTCCCCAGATGTTTTGGCCTTCAACTCCCAGAAATCCTAACAGCTGGTAAACTGGCTGGGATTTTTGGGAGTTGTAGGCCAAAACACTTGGGGACTCACAGGTTGAGAACCACTGCTTTAGATAGTCTAGTTTGTTTGGTACCCCTTCCTCTTCCTTGCATAAAATTGCCACCATTTTCTTATTTCTTCATCATCTGCCTCAGTGGCAACATGTTCTAGAGAACATCTAGGTTTAGTTGCTACCTACTTCTTTGTCTTCGGTGCCTATTTTCCATCCTCCTGCATCCTCTTCTTCATCCTTCAACTTTTCCTCCCCCAAAAGGTTGTGGCCTCTTGGACACTCTTCATGAAGAATGTCATTTGCTGCCAGAAAGCTTCAATGTCTTAAGTGAGTGCTCTGCTTAGATAGGGTCTATAACACACCAACATACTAAATAGAAATAGAGCAGCTAGATGAGGGGTTCTCAAACTTTTTAAGCCGAGGGCTAGTTCACGGTCCCTCAGACTGTTGGGGAGCTGAACTATAGTGTGAAAAAAAATTAAATTAATTCCCGTGTACACTGCACATATTTTATTGGTAGTGAAAAAAAACCATGAAAGAATAATACGATATTTATAGTGACGAACAATTTTAACCAACATAAACTTACCAGTATTTCAATGGGTAGTGTGAGCATGTTTTTGGCTGATTAGATAGCTTAAGGTTTCTTTGCTCCAACTATGTTGTTATGGGTTTAGTCTTCTCTTGAAAGAATACGCCAAGACGCACAGGGGCTGAAGATATTATACACCTTTATTGTTCAGAATACAAGAATCTAGCACTTCTGCCCATCCATATAGGAACATAGCTACAATGACATAAATCACCCAAAAGCCCTGGAGCCTCCCCTTTCCCACATACCAGAGCCCACATTCTCCCACCTCAGGTCAATTGACTTTTGTGACCAGTTGATATGTCCTTGCAGTATCCTGTCCTCCCTTTTGGCCAATGGCCATGTGCTCCATGGCAGGGCTGATAGTTGCATGGCATGAGTGATCATGACACATAGTCAAGTTAATTAGGATTGTTTTCTAAGGACTGGGGCTTTAGCACAGCTGGTAAATCACCAGCAGTGATAAGATCTACCAACCAAAAGGTTGCAAGTTTGAAGCCCCAGGTTGGCATGAGCACCCAACTGTCAACCCTGCTCACTGTTTACCTAAGCAGTTAAAAAACAGCTTACAGCTGTGATTAGAGGAATTCGGTACCACTAATGCAGGAGAACTATTTTACGATCAAAGAATGTCAGTGACCAAAAGGAAGGAGCAAGTCCTGATGGCTCTTTGTCATAGAGCAGGGGTCCTCAAATTTTTAAACAGTGGGCCAGGTCACAGTCCCTCAAACTGTTGGAGGGCCGGATTATAATTTGAAAAAAACATGAATGAATTCCTATGCACAGTGCACATATCTTATTTGTAGTACAAAAAACACTTAAAAACAATACAATAATTAAAATGAAAAACATTTTCAACAAATATAAAATGAATAGTATTTCAGTGGGAAGTGTGGGCTTACTTTTGGCTGATGAGATAGGATTGTTGATGTTGTTGTGTGCTTTCAAGTCGTTTCAGACTTAGGTTGACCCTGAGCGAGGGCCGAGTAAATGACCTTGGAGGGCCACATCTGGCCCCCGGGCCATAGTTTGAGGACCTCTGTCATAGAGGATGGAGCGACAGCGCCCCCTCCCCCTGTGGCTGGTAACTCCCAAAGGCGCTGACAAGCTGAATGTTCAACTGTGGATGGATGTCAACACAACACAATATACCTCCTTTCTGTTCTGTGTTTGTCCTGTCCAAAAAACGGCATTGAACGTTTGCCGTATATGTGTCCTGTGATCCTTTCTGAGTCCCCTTCAGGGTGAGAAGGGCAGAATATAAATAACGTTTGTTATTATTATTATTGTGTGCCTTCAGGTTTTCAGGGCGACCCTAAGTTTAGGGCAGATCTTAGTTTGGGGATCCCTGAGCTAGACTCAAAAAACTCCTCTCAAATCATGCCATCCACACCATTTTTACCACAACCATCTTGGTACCGAAGCTGACTATTTGCAAATCCCGATGAGTTTTCACAAGGCTTCTTTTCCATATTTGTTAGGCTTTTGTAAGTTTACTTTCAAAAGTTTTCAATTCTGATTTTCATTCTGTAGGGCAACCATTTAACTCCTTACAAGAGGGGGAAATAGAACAGATGAAAGACTATACTTCTCTTTTATAGCACTGCATTGCCATGTGACTGGAGGGTTTGTTGTTTTTTCTATTTCATTTTACTTTTGAAGGATTTTTTTTCCCTTTGGCAAGAAGCACCCTCTTTTCCCAAAAGCAAGCTGTCACCTCCCACACATAGACAGAAACAGTAGAGTTCACCCCTGGGTCTCCTAGATTAGGAGATTTTGTATGGTGGGATTTTTAAACAGTTCTGCCTGTCTATGTACCGTTAGAAAAGTGAGCGTGAATCCAACCCGTTGAAAAAAAATCAGGTTTTTGAGCTTTAATTTTTTTTTTTATCAAGTTGATTTTTTGGCCTTATCTAAAATGTACGCAGGTTCCAGAAAATCTCCTTGATACAGCTCCATTTTTCTAAGGATTCATCTGATAGTTGGGCAGAAATTCTTCCTCAGAAGAGCTGACTTTAACATACGGTTGAGTTGTCTGTAATATTCATTCCCTGCTTTGAGATTTTTCAGCATTCATTGGATGTGTGAGATTTATTTGCATTTCAAAGTAATTGCAGTTTCACTTTCCCATTTCATCAGTGGAGTAGTGCTTTCTTTGCATAAGCATGAAATGCCTCCTTTACCGGGAGTGCTTGTTTCAGGCAAAGTGATTTAATCTGAGAAAATATGTACCGTATATACTCGAGTATAAGCTGAGTTTTTAAGCTGAAAAAGCGCCCCTCGGTTTATACTCGAGTCAATGTTATTTGTCATTTTACTCAGTTGTTATTATTATTATTATTATTATTATTACATTTCCATTATTTTACTCTATTATTATTACATTTATTATTTTACTCTATTATTGTATTTATTATTTTACTCTATTTATTGTTATTAGATTTATTATTTTACGCTATTATTACTGTTATTATTACATTTCCATTATTTTACTCTATTATTTTTATTACATGCATTTTCCCCCTCTTTATTATTATTGGAAGGATACGTAAGCACATTTAAATTGAAGAAAGTTAGAATAATAGTTTAATCCGAGTTGGACAGTCTTAACTTAAATTGCAGTTTTGTGTAAATTTCACCTACTGATGCCTCAATTGATGTAATTTTATTGGTATCTATTTTTACCAGTAGCTGCTGCTACTCGGCTTAGACCCACCCTCGACTTATACTCAAGTTAATACATTTTCCCAGTTTTTTGAGGTAATATTAGTTGCCTCAGCTTATATTCGGATCAGTTTATACTTGAGTATATATGGTACGTACTACCCTGTTTCCCCAAAAATAAGACCTAACCATAAAATAGGCCCTAGCATGATTCTCATAAAATAAGCCCCAGTTAAGATCAACAGCCAGATGGACGTGTTTAGTACGTCTGTTGCAACACACTACAGACTATTGAATTAGAAAATAATAGTATAATATTAATCTATAATTAAATATAAATACATAGTAATATTGACATAAGCAGATGACTGCATTTGAGTAAAGGAAGATAGTTTTACATGAGTTATTGTAGAATTTTGTATATCAGTAAATGAATCATGTAGATTGTTGTACATCAATAAATGTAGATTTCTGTACATAAAAAAGACATCTCCTGAAAGTAAGCTCTAATGAGTCCTTTGGTGCAAAAATTAATATAAGACTTGGTCTTATTTTTTGGAGAAATATGGTATATGAAATTCATGTGGTCTCCATAAACAGCAGGCAATTTGAAGACACATACATGCATGCATGAGCCACCAGTGATGCAGTGAGTTAAACTGCTGAGCTGCTGAACTTGCTGATCAAAAAGTTGATGGTTTGAATCCGAGGAGCAGGATGAGCTTCTGCTGTTAGCCCCAGCTTCTGCCAACCCAGCAGTTCTAAAACATGCAAATGTGAGTAGATCAATAGGTAACGCTTCAGCGGGAAGGTAATGGTGCTCCATGCAGTCATGCCGGCCACATGACCTTGGAGGTGTCTATGGAGAACGCCGGCTCTTCAGCTTAGAAACGGAGATGAGCACCAACCCCTAGTCAGACACGACTAGACTTAATGTCAAGGGGAAACCTTTACCTTTACCTTTATATGCATGCAACATAAGGCAGCATCTTTATTTATTTAAAGCTTTCTATCCTGACTTTTTTGTTGTTTGGGACTCAAAGAAACTTCCAACACATTAAAAAAACACATTGTTAAAATGTCACAAGATACAAAAGTTTAATCAATAAAGATAATGAAACCCGATTAAACATACATCATTAAGCATGTATGCACACACCCCAGCACAACAGTAAGTTCAGAAACATTGTTTAGGTAAGATGGAACCAATTTAATTACTCATCAAATGCTTGTTGAAATAGAAAAGTCATTATAAAAATGAAAAGAAAGTAAGGAAGTTGCCTGTCTTGACTTCTCTGAGGAGAAAGCAGAGGCAGGAATGTGTGAGCTTCCAAATGTAGTTGAACTGCAATACCCTTTAGTCCAAGCTTTCAGAGAGATGACTGGAGTTGTAGTTCCACTGCCATCTGGAAGATGGCATGTTCCCTTTTCTTGCCGAAAGAGCTGCTTTCTGCATCACAGTGTGGCATTGGAGTATTCCCCCAAGATGCTTCATTGTAGGAAAACAGAGCATAGGTGCAAATAAAAAGGTAGAGAGATTGCTGATTCATTCTTATCATCTGCCATTATTCATGCAAAGTTTTGCCCTTCCTACTTTATTTTCAGACATGACACAGATATCTGAAGAGGGCTCCCGTGTTGTCAAATTCTAATGTGGGAGGAAGCAGCCTTATAAACATTTGTTGAGGAGGCGGAAGTGGGGGGAAATGCTAATGTGACTCTGATTAGTTCTGGAGATTGTATTCACAGGCAGTTAGGGTTCAACACATTTTCTCCTAGATGTAATCAGATGTGATTGCGCAACAAGAGCAATGCCGATTGGCCTGGGTGAACTAAAGTTTAAATATTCTGAAACATTTTATTATTTTCCTCTGCATTTTATTTTCTTTTTTTTCTTTTTTTCTTTTTTTTTTTTTTTTTGCTTGTTCAGAGTACTGTTGTTCTCTGCTTTGTGGGACAGGTGATTCCAATGAAAAGAATTAAACACTGTAATGCAGCCTCTTGCATTTCCATTAGGATGGCAAACTCCATGAAATTATTTATATGGTTTCTCAAACACTGCATCCACTTGCTTCCATTATGTTCCCAAGTAACAAAATACTTTTAGAGTGCAATTGTGGTTTATAATTGTGGGATGCATTTATTACTTTCTCTTCTTTTGCTCAAGTCCACTCCACTTCCTTTCCTTTTTTCCCTTTTTTTCCATTCATGCGTTTCAGTTTTCCTGCTCTTCTTTATTTTAAAGGTTTTTTATTTATTTCGTACTAGCCATCCCCTGCCACGCATTACTGTGGTCCAGTCTGCGTATTTGTTTTGTGTGTGTATATATGTGTGTATATTTTGTGTATATATGTAGTTTTGTGCATGTGTTGTATTTTTTTTTTTTGCTTTTTTAGTAGTTTCTGCTGTCTTTTTCAGGTTTTTATGAGTGATGGTCAATTGTTGGCCTGATAGGTGTATTGTGTCCAAATTTGGTGTCAATTTGTCCAGTGGTTTTTGAGTTATGTTAATCCCACAAACGAACATTACATTTTTATTTATATAGATTAAAAACATTGCATAAATTAGTATAAAACTGAGAAAAATAGAAGGAACACAAGCGTCTAAAAGTTTTTTGACCAAAAACAGGCAACATTGATCGCTCTTGTATGTCAGCCTGTTCACCCGCTTATAATGGGAATAATACTCAAGATGGTTCATGTTGGAAATGATGTTCATGTTGATATGCATAATGGGAATGGGGATGATGTTCCTGATGATGGACTTGATGATGGTCAGGTTTCCCGGGCCAGAGTTAAGTTCAGAAGAGAGGCCTGAGTAAGACCACATTCTGGGAAAGGCCTTTCACCGCCATTCTCAGAGCGAAAGTCTGAAAAGGATGCTGAGATTGCTTTGCAAGGTGCAGAGGGAGAGACCTTGGACAGGAAACAGACTTTTAGTAAACAGAGGCAAAACTTTCAGAATCTCAGGCATTCTGCTTGTTTACAACAAAAGAAAGATAACCAACTATTATCTAGACCAGTGGTTCTCAACCTGGGGTCTCCAGATGTTTTTGGCCTTCAACTCCCAGAAATCCTAACAGCTGGTAAACTGGCTGGGATTTCTGGGAGTTGTAGGCCAAAAACATCTGGGGACCCCAGGTTGAGAACCACTGATCTAGACTATTATCTTTCTTGACAGTTTGGGCCATTGGAAAGGGTTTATAATGATTCATGGGAGGCTAGTGTCTCAGTCGAGTCAATGTCTTTAATTCATGCTGGTTATGTTTTCAAATGCTCCATGTTTCATGCATCAAGTTGTTGCCAAGTTTGATGCCTAAGAGTTTCTGCTATTTGTTTTCATGCTTTCAAGAGCCTTGCCTCATGAATTTCTATATACTAATGAACCTAGTTTCCTTTTAAAGTTTATGAATGATCTTGGATTTTGGACTTTTAGTGTTTTACTATTTTTACTGCTTTGCCTACACATATTCTACAATAAACTGCTTGCTAATTTTATCAAGCTGGTGTGGTGTTTCAAGTCAGAGGCGTTCCTGCTCTGGAGTATGTCAACTGCATTGTCTGTAGACTCAAACAATTCTTTCTCTGTGCATGAGGCAAGACATTGTGGACAAGCATACAGATGCAGAGTTGTTTGTTCCACTCCACAGTCATACAAGGTGGAGGATTCTTTTAGGTAGTGCCATTTTGCCAGGTTTTTCAAGGTCATTTACCAGTTTCTCCAATAACTCCTTTGTTGGCAGACATGTACTTGTGGCAGTTGTAATTCAGCAAACATTGGAGCTCTTGAACATGAAAATGGGGTAGAAAAATATTAAGGCAAATTATGAAAGTATATCCAGTTGTATAATATAACAAGGATTTTGTGATGCAAGTTTCAGTAATTTTTTCACTGCCTCCCCACATCTAGGTATTTTAGAGTTGCAGTTCTTCCATCTTCAGCTGACATCAGCTGTCTGTTCCGTACGAAGGTCTATTCTGCTGCTGAAACTATTTTATTTAGTGAGATGTTCAGGGTAGCTATTTCCCAAGCATCATTGCAACAAAAAACTTTGAGAGTGGATGTCTGCTCCGTCAGTAAAACTCGTCGGGAAGAATGCCTAGTAAGTATTCTTTATTATTGGTTTTGTTTGATGTTCCTATATTTAGGGTTTGTTTTTTTTTTTTCATTCTGATAGATAGACAGCTTCAATGCTGTGCATTAGTAACCTCCAAAGGACTGAATATACTCATCTCTGATATTGGATGATTGCAGAGTTTAGACTCTCTTTTGATCAGAGTATTACAGAGGTAGACAATTTGTTCAGCTCTGAGGGCTTCATTGAAAATGCATCATGAGCCTGAGGGCTGCAGCTAATATACATATTTTAGATACATGTAATAAGGGTAATTTGCATTCCATTAGAATGGATGCGGTGAATGACAAATCAGAATGTGAGATAATAATGTACTCCTGTGTAGTTTCGACTCTGTAGAAGAATTGATATTTGGAACAGCCCTGGACTAGGATTGTTGGGTTGTGTGATTTTTAACGTTTATATTAATATGTTTTTAGCTCTATGTTTTAATGTTTTTATGATTTAATTGATAGCTGTATGTTATTATTGTTTTATGTTAGGTTTTATATATTCGAGGCATTGAATTTTTCTGTATATATGTTAAACACTGCTTTGAGCCCCCCACCCCCCTGCCCCGGGGAGAGAAAAGCGGTATACAAATGAAGTAAATAAATAAATAAATAAATTTGGTGTAGCCCATCAACTCAATTATGCACATATTGGCATGGAAGTTAAGCAATTAAGAAGTTTGGACACTTGATGAAGTGTGCCTAGGTTGCCCCCACTCCCAGATAGCCACACAGCTCTGTGTCCGTTCCTGACCGCCATAAGCATCCCATGCTGACATCCCTCCTTCCTGGTCACACGGATCTTGATGCCCCCCCCCCCAAAAAAAGAGCCATGTGGGAGCAGCGATGGTGACACAGATGGTAAAGTGATGATCCAGCGAGCCAGTGTAGTCTTGGCCCAGCTGCATTCCAACCTGCCGCTGCCATGGGTTCAGGATAATGCTTGTTACTGCCTCTGCAGTAGTCGCATAGATTGATTAATCAGCTAGTGGGCATGTTTAACCTGCAGAAGAGAAGGCTGAGAGGAGACATGGTGGCCATGTATAAATATGTGAGGGGAAGTCATAGGAAGCAGGGAGCAAGCTTGTTTCCTGCTGCCCTGGAGACTAGGATGCAGAACAATGGCGTCAAACTGCAGGAAAGAAAATTCCACCTGAACATGAGGAAGAACTTCATAACTGTGAGAGCTGTTCAGCAGTGGAACTCTCTGCCTCGGAGTGTAGTAGAGGCTCCTTCTTTGGAAGCTTTTAAACAGAGGCTGGATGGCCATCTGTCGGGGGTGCTTTGAATACAATTTTCCTGCTTCTTGGTAGAGGGTTGGACTGGATGGCCCACGAGGTCTTTTCCAATTCTATGATTCTAGTGTAGACATCGCCAAAGTTGCTGAGTTTGAAAGAAGTTCTTTCTTTGCGTCACCTTCTAGGAGACATTCCTAAACCTTGCTGTGGCTTTCCTGTGAAAATTGATTGATTGATTGATTGATTGATTTCAAACATTTGTACCCCACCCTTCTCAGCCCCCGGGAGAGGGGACTCAGGGCGGCTTACATCCAGCACAATTTGATGTCACTCCATATAAATAATACATACAGTAATTAACATATAATAATACATTAAATTAATTTAAAAATTAGTTTAAAATAAAAAGTACATTAATAAAAAATACGTTAAACCCAAAATAATCCCCAAAATGTAAACTATTCTCCACAGAGCTGTGGCTTCATCCACCCATCCACAGCTCAGCGAAAAAGGTGCACCATGCAAAATTGTCAAATATATTTTGAGTAATAATATCATGATAAGAACCTGATGGCTTTTATTTTCTTTATACTTCTGTTACCCCAGCAGCTGCTTGTGAGCATATTGATTAATAACTGTAGACACAGCCAGAGTGTAAAGTAATGGTGCCTGAGGCATGCTCACAATTGGGTTCTCAAAGCCTCTAGATAGAAGGCTGATATTTCTTTCCTTGCATATAAAACCAGTTTCCTCTTCCTGAAGAAGATGGACTGAGGCCAACTATATTTTGCCCCAGGCATCAACTTAGCCTGTACTCTCTCTTGCACGGATCTATTATATTTAATTAGAGATTTAAAATATAGACAGGGTTCTCCCCACCCCACCCCCGCATTATCTGTCTGAGCTTGAATATTTACAGATTTGAGAAAGTACACTCGTTCAGTCATATGGCCCTTATACGGAGGAATCAAGAACAACATTGTGCCTTGAATTGCTTTGCTCTTTCTGTCCTACAAGCTTAAGTGCTCCCCCAAAGTGTATTCTAAACCAGCATCATTTCTGTGCCATCTGCTCCAAACAAATACTTACAGGGCTTTTAATCTCTTTCTGCGGCTTGTCTTCTCCATCATGCAAATAATGTAATCAGTGTTACGCAGATACTTATACATATAAACCCACTTGATGCAAATGCCTGCTCCTGTAGACACTTTTGAGAAGTGGAAGGATTGGTTAGGCGGTTGAGCCTCCACATAGAGTGCCCCCATCACACATTATGTTATATGTGCGGTGGAATAGAGAAGGACAAACCCAGTAAGTATATGAACTTTACCCATGTTGTGTTTACTTTTGAATATTGCTGTTCTACTTGAACCGAAAAGGTGTTCAGGTCTAGTGGATGAGTTTAATTGCTGTGAGATAAGAGACATTTGAAGAATCAATGTAAGACAATGTTCACTGACATACCTACTTCAAAATATGTTGACTATTTCAACACGCTTTACATTAAAGAGTGACATAAATGCAATTTTAGAGTGATTTCCCACTGAATCATAATATTGGCTTAGCAAGTTTACATCAATTCATTGAGTTGAGTTGAGTTGGAGCTAACACTTGAAACAATGCCTTTACATTACAATGAGAACAACAACAACAATTACTTTATTCTTGTATCCCGCCACCATCTCCCCAAAGGGACTCGGGACGGCTTACGCACAGCACAAGGTGCGTGAAACCAAAACATAATATAAAGATAGTACAAAATACAATAAGTACAATAAGTAAAATATAAATAAAAATGCAATGTTCGTTTGTGGGATTAGCATAACTCAAAAACCACTGGACGAATTGACACCAAATTTGGACACAATACACGTATCAGGCCAACAAGTGATCATCACTCATAAAACACTGGAAAACACAGCAGAAGAGACTTAAAAAGCCAAAAAATTAAAAAATACATTACAACACATGTGCAAAACCTTTTGCCTTTTGTAAGCCGCCCTGAGTCCCCCCTCGGGGGTTGAGAAGGGCAGGGTAGAAATGCGCGAAATAAATAAATAAATCAAAACCACATATATATATATATGCAAACTTGCATATATACACAAATATACACACACAAAACACATATACACAGACTGGGCCAAAGCAACGCATGGCAGGTGACGGCTAGTTCACATATAAAGCATCAATTAAAACTCAATAAAACTGAGCTCATCAACCAATAGTGGTAAGCTGCTGTAAACATGGCCAGGCTGTAAATAAATAGGACAAGAAAAAGGGATCGTGCAAAGCTATAACACTGGAGAGAGGGCATGGGATAAAGTGCAAGGCTGCATGACTGTTGCACAGAACAACTAGGGAGTAGGCATTCTCAAAGGCTTGTTTGAATAGCCAAGTCTTCAAGTCCCTACAAAAGGACGACAGTGTGGGAGCCTGCCTAAAACTCATCTTTTGCATTTTTCTGTAGGCTGGAACTCAGATAAGCCTGGCAGACTTGTCACTTTCAAATGAGACTTCTACTTTGTGGTATAATTTGCTTGCTTATAAGCAAATTCCTGGCAAAAAGAAGCCAAAGGAAGATCCTGTGTCTGTACCAAACAGTGAATCATCTGACTCCTTGGACTTGGTGAGCAATGTATGACAATGCCTAGTGAGAAATCTAGGAATAGTAGGAGTTTAGTAGTGATTGTGGCAATGCTAGGGTCAACATTTTTTGGTCCATCCTGCTGCCTTTTGTGACCGACTGCCATATAAACCAAGTTAAGTTTTTTAACTTTGCTTCCAAGCACCGAAAAGAAGCAGTGTTAACAATTTCCTGTAAATAAACTACTAAAGTCATGACTAGAAGGCAAGATTATAAGCATTATTCATAAAATAATTGGCTTTCCAGAGGCAGAATCTATTTCTTTGTTTTCTTTTCATGGAAGAACATTTAGTAATGCAACTTGCCCTGCTCACTTACTGTTCTTTGACACTTATTTCAAAAATAAATAGAAAGGTTGGATTAGGTAATATCTTGATCTGTGTGCTGTAGAGAACAAGAGTATAGTTCAGGGGTTCTCAACCTGTGGGTCCCCAGGTGTTTGGGCCTACAACTCCCAGAAATCCCAGCCAGTTTGCTAGCTGTTAGTATTTCTGGGAATTGAAGGCCAAAACATCTGGGGACCCACAAGTTGAGAACTACTGGTATAGTTGATCTATTTTGTGATGCCTATCCTACCTGACTGATGTTCATAAAGGTATATGCACTTGAAACCATGCATATGCCAAATTATAATTGTCACATGTAAACTGCAAAGGAATTCGTCTGTTGGAACAGGCATAGGCAAACTTTTTTGCTCTGCATTACGGGCACAACCAGGAGAGCTGGGACAGGAGGGCCAGGCCGACCCAGGAGGGAGGGCCGGCCCAAGAGGAGTTGAGGCTGTGGGCAAGGCAGGCCATGGAGAAGGTGGTGGTGGGATGGGCCTGGAAGACACGGGGTTGGAGCGGAGCAAACCCAGGGGGGCAGGGGTGGATCACCCTCATGCTTTCGTCTCAGCACAACAATGGGGCTGCTTGACACATCCTTATGCTGGGAAGAAAATGAGGCTTTTGAGGTCCCGAGGTCCCTGCCTGCTTCTCCCTTCTGCCAGCCTCTTTGCCCAGGTTGAGCTTCTCCCAGCATCAGGACAAGGCCTTGCCTCATCCTGATGTCGGGGGAAGGGAGAGGGAAGTGTCAAGCGAAGTAACTTTGGAGCTGCTTCACCTACCACTTGCCTCTTTGCCCGGGCTGAGCTTCTGACATCAGGATGGGGCCTCACCATGTCCCAACACCAGGAGAACGGAAAGGTGAGCAGCAGGTGAGGTGGCTTTGGAGTTGTTTCGCCTGCTGCTTGCCTCTTTTCCCAGGCCAGGCTTGTCCTGACACCAGGAGACCGGAGAAGCAAGAAGCAGGAGAGGCGGCTTTGGAATCACTGTGCCTACTGCTTGCTTCTTTCCGCAGGCCAGGCTTCTCCGGGCATTGGGACAGGACCCCTCGCCCTATCCTTATGCCAGGAGGAGGGCCCGAGGAAGGCAAACGGTGACTGAGATCTTTCTAGAGGGCTCCTAGCCACCGCATGCCTTTCTCCCTTGTCCTTTTGGCATAAGGACACACCGAGCTGCTACATCCTTATGCCCAGAGGACAGGGGAAATTTTGAGGGATGAACATAAGGACCCAGAGGGCTGTCTGGCCCGCGGGCCTTAGTTTGTCCTTGCCTGCATTATAACGTATGAATGTAGATATTTATGATCTTACACTGATGTGTGCACATCCAAACCAATCGAAATGGGCTCTATAGGTGATCAATGAGGGACACTTATTGAGAAAGGGGGTTGATTTTCACATAAATACATGAACTCTTGAAGGGTAATATGGAAATACTATGTCATCTGTGTGTTTGAATAATCCCTGAGTGTCTGATGATGTTACCCTGTTTATAGGAATGTGCCCCTAAAGAAATTTTCAAACAGGGTACATTTAACTTGGGAAAAAAGGACTTAATATACCGGTAATGAAATGGACAATGACTTTCATTTTTAGTCAGGCTTTGTCAGTATCCACAACTGTTAATAGGACAGGTTATATATTATTATATACAGTATATAATAGTGATAGATTTATCTCTCCAATGCTCCAATGTCTCTGCTAGGATGCTGTGTCAGCACTACTAGAAAGGACATCAGCTGAGCTGCAAGCTGTAGAACAAGAATTGGCAAAGGAGGAAGAGGAGGAGGAGGAGGAGGAAGAGGAAGAAGAAGAGGAGGAAGAAAAGGATGCACAAGACCTACACAATGTTGAGGAAGACTGGTTAGCTGAAATCTGTTTTTGTTATTCAAATTGTTTTTCACAAACACCATTTCACCCAAAAGGCATGAAACAAAGCAGGCCATGGCAAGAAACTATTTCTTACCATCTGCTGCTTATCCAAACCAAAACCTTTTTTTATTCATTTGGACATGTTGGAGAATAAGTGCATGTGCTTTACATGCTGTTTTCCCTCCAGCTGCATTCCCACTGCTGGAAAGAAAGGTTGTTGCTGCTGTTGTTTGAAAGAAAATTAAAATAACCATTTGTTTCTTTGGTGGAAGAATAATGAATGATCTCATATGTTATTCATATATTCACTTCTGCACACACAGACAACCATTAGTCTCTTGCTGGTCTGGGGGCATGTCAGCACTGGGAGAAGCCTGCCAAATGTTCATAGGCGCTCACCATGAGCGGAAAAGGTTCCTGATGAGGGTAAAAGGCAATGCATATTTAGAAGGCTTCCCTTTTGCAGACATGCCCTCAAAGCATGAACTTTTCACATACAGCCTTGTATCACCCACAATAAATATGCCTGTGTAACTAATATTTTGTTATATTTGTAATCCGTTATAAGTTCATTGTTTTGTTTGAGATCCAATATAAAAAGACATTAGTGATGCAGTGTTTTTCCCCTGGAAATTCACCATCTTCTGGGAGAATGAGAAGCTTTACCTAATCATATTGAGAACACAATATAAATTAACCTGTACTTGCTAGTGTAGGTTAATAATCCAGAAGGGAAAACACAAGAAGCTTATATCACTCCATTTGAATGATTTTGGGTGTTAAATATGCTATGTGATATCCTTTAAAAGAGTATTACTCAAAGTCATGTCCCTCAACCAATGCCAGTCTATAAGCCATTGGTTGCCAGTCTGCAATGAATTCCTGTGCAATTAGTCTAATAATATAAAGAAATAGCACCAGTATAGTACCTGAAACTGGCGAATTTTGGGGAGGGCAGGATATCAGTCTGCCACATCAAGTAGCTTATGAAATATTGTTTTAGGGAGGTGGATTTGTAACTGAATTTGAAGCAAATGACAAATATAATGGATATAACATATTGGATCATTTTTATTTATTTCTCATGTCAGAAGTGAATTGAGAATACAGTTATAATGCATAGAAAAACCACAAACAAAGTTAAAAACTTGACATTATGCTAAATTTCCTTAGACCAGAAACTGGCCATTTCAAGTGCCTCTGGTGTTGCTATAAGAAGGTCCTTCCATTGTGTTTGTGGCAAGGCTCAGACCGCATTGTAGCAGGTGGTCTGTGGTTTGCTCTTCTCCACACTTGCATGTCTTGGACTCCACTTCATAGCCCCATTTCTTAAGGTTAGCTCTGCATCTCGTGGTGCCAGAGCACAGGCTTGCAGCATATTGGATCATGAAAGCATTTTGCTGAAATTCAAATCTGCTTCTGGCCAAGATAACGTATTGACAATAGTGTATCTTTCATAGAGAGTTTATATCCAAAACTTGCCAGTTTTTTTCTTACCTTCGGTTAGTTTGGGTTCCTTTGTTGTCACAGGCTAGGAATACAGGCAGTGGCATCCAGTGCCATTGTGACAGAGGAGAAGGGCGCTGTTAAAAATTCAGAGGAAAGTGGAGATGCCGATTCCTCTTCTGAATTGGTGGAGACAGAAGAAATCAAGGACGAGGAGGACAGCAATTGTACATATATGGATCCCGATGAAGAAGTTGCAGTATTGCCCACACTGGTGAGTGTTTCAGATGATGAAAATATCCTAAAGATGAGTCTGGCATCTTTTGACTATTTTTGGACCATCAGTAGTGTGTTAAGGTTAAGAACTTGACATCACGAGAAACTCATTTTTGTAGTATTAATATTATTTATTTATTTTGATCCCGCTTTTCTCCCACAAGTGGGACTCAAAGCGGCAAACAAATAGTTAAAAAAAACCAGAAATTGCATACTACAGGAATACAACATCATCCCTCCCAACCCAACCAAGTAAACAATAAACAAACCCTTACATAATAAACAATAAACAAACAATAAACAAACACCTTACATAAGCCATATGAAATAAGCATAATAAATAACTGCATTAATCATTATCATTAAAATCCCTGGGCCTCAGGCCACTGAGACTGTCCTTAAAACATTACACTAAAAAAATCTCAAAGCTCTGAATCTTTGGCTGTGTGAACCTTGCCAGAACGAGGTGGCCTTTAGTGACAAATATTGGCAGTAATCACTGGATACTTAGTCATAGCTTCTTATGGGGCTTTGGGGAAGGCCTGCTTCCATGGAAAGGTTTAAAACTGGGAGCGAAAGGGCACTAACAAGGTGGCCAAATATGCCTCTTTTGGGAGGGAGTTCCAGAGCTGTGGGACCACCACTGAGAAGGCCCTCTCTCTCATTTCCACCAACCATATTTGTGACGGTGGTGGGACCAAGAGAAGGGCCTCTCCTGATAATCTCAGGACTCATGTGGGCTGATAAGAGGAGATGTGGTCCCTCAAGTAGGCTGGACCCAAACTGTTATGGGCTTTATAGCTAAAGCCAGCACCTTGAATTACACCCAGAAACATCTGGAAGCCAGTGTAGCTGCTTCAGGAGCAGGGTAGTTCTTTCCCTATGTTTTGCTCCCATGAGCCATCTAGCTGCTGTCCTTTGTACCAGTTGAAGTTTCTGAACACTCTTCTGGGCAGCCCCATGTAGAATGCATTACAGTAATCTAGCCTGGACGTGACTAAGGCATGTACTGCCATGGCCAGATTGGGCTTTTCAAAGTATGGGCACAGCTGGCACACAAGCTTTAACTCTGTAAAAGCCCTCCCACCCACCGCCGACACCTGGGCCTCCAGGGTCAGCGCTGAGTTCAGGAAGACCACCAGATTGCGAACCTGCACTTTCAGGGGTGTGTGACTCCATTCAGCATAGGTTGCAGCCCAATACCATGATCAGCCCTACAACTGACTAGTATTTTCACTATATAATGTCATTTTAGCTTTTAGCCTCTTCACGTGCTTTCTAACACATCCTTTACCGTATAGTAAAATGATACATTTTGCTTTGATATATTGTAAGGGAGATAAGCAAAAATACACCCTTAAATCCATAAGAGACGTAGTCTACTTGCTAGTTAACATTTAATGTTTATTTGTTATATTATTCATGTATAATAATGAATGTATTAAATATTTAGTAGGTTATTTAATGTTGAAGCTGTACTTGCATCCATGTATGGCTTAATTTTTTGTTTTAGCCATTGTTTATGAAGTTTTAATAACAAGGACCGTGTTTTTCAAAGCAGTGCAGGAAATGTTTGTGTGTGTATGTGTTAGAATGGATGGATCAATTTATTCCCAGACTATAGGTTTTGCTCATGTTCATCCTTAAATATATTCTGAGACATTCCTGTAGAGTTTTTTTTTTTTGAAACCATGGGGAAATACGTGTTTAAATGTAAATTTTCAGTAGGTCAATTTGCTTCAAAATGTGGGCAAAATTAAAGCCTCAATTGTTTTGTGTTTATGCCTTCTTGCCCTGAGTATGACCTGTTGTTGTTAATAATAATAATAATAATAATAATAATAGTAATAATTATTATTATTTATTTATAGACCGCCTTCTCTCCCCAAGGGGTCTCAGGGCGGTTTACACACGAGAAAGGCAAACATTCAATGCCTTTTGCAAATACAAACATTTCAAAATAAAACAAAAAGATTTCGCAATATCTAGTGTCTAGATCTAGGAAAGTAATGCTACCCCTCTATTCTGCTTGGGTTAGATCACACCTGGAATATTGTGTCCAATTCTGGGCACCACAATTCAAGAGAGATATTGACAAGCTGGAATGTGTCCAGCGGAGGGCAACTAAAATGATCAAGGGTCTGGAGAACAAGCCCTATGAGGAGCAACTTAAGGAGCTGGGCATGTTTAGCCTGAAGAAGAGAAGGCTGAGAGGAGATATGATAGCCATGTATAAATATGTGAGAGGAAGCCACAGGGAGGAGGGAGCAAGCTTGTTTTCTGCTTCCCTGGAGACTAGGAAACAGAACAATGGCTTCAAACTACAAGAGAGGAGATTCCATCTGAACATGAGGAAGAACTTCCTGACTGTGAGAGCCGTTCAGCAGTGGAACTCTCTGTCCCGGAGTGTGGTGGAGGCTCCTTCTTTGGAAGCTTTTAAACAGAGGCTGGATGGCCATCTGTCAGGGGTGTCAGATGCAATATTAAATGCAATATTCCTGCGTCTTGGCAGGGGGTTGGACTGGATAGCCCATGAGGTCTCTTCCAACTCTTTGATTCTATGATTCTATGAATACAAAAATAATGACCATAAACTTACGACAAAAGAAAAAATAACATCAAAATGAAAAACCAAGTATGAATAATCGAATAAACATAATTACACTAGTAACAAAAATTAACCATTAAGACATAAATCCCGAGAAAGGAGATTAAAATACATAAAAATGGCTATCATGGTTGTTCTTTCTCATGTACCAAAGCAGCAACGGAATACAAATAAGTTAGCCAGTGTTCCGGTGGAATTAAAATGTCCCTAATCCTCCTCCTCTCCATACTCTAAAGTGCATAAGTGTGTTTTCAAGAGTTTTTTAAAAGAGAGGAGGGTGGGGGCCATTTTTATTTCTTTAGAAAGGGAGTCCCAGAGATGGGAAGTGATCACAGAGAAGGCCCCCTCTCTCGTTCCCACCAACCGAGCTTGTAACGGGGGTGGAACTGAGATCAGGGCCTTCTCTGTTAACCACAGTGCACAGGATGGTCTGTATAGGGAGATACAATTAGACAAATAGCCTGGACCCAAACCTTTTAGGGCTTTATAGGTGACGGCCACCACTTTGTATTTAGCCCTGAAGCTGACTGGCAACCAGTGGAGCTGCCACAGCATGGGAATCGTCCTCTCACGATACAGAGCTCCAGTTAGCAATCTGGCCGCCTATCTTGGCACCAATTGCAGCTTCTGAACTATCTTCAAAGGCAGCCCCACATAGAGAGCTTTGCAGTAGTCCAAATGGGATGTGTCTAAGGTGTGGACTATCATGGCCAAGTCAGATGTCTCAAGGTACAAGCGCAGCTGGCACACAAGTTTTAACTGTGCAAAGATTCTCCTGGCCGCCACTGACGCCTGGGGTTCCAGAGTCAACGGATGAATCCACCCCCAGACTGCCGACCTGTGTTGTTCTCCTGGATGAACCTGCTCGTCCTTGTCCTTCTTCCTACCTGCTCTCTTCCTCCATCTCTTTCCCTATTATTATTTTACTTTCCATATAATTGAAATGAATGCCTATTAGATACCAGAGTATTATTTCATTTGACATCACAGTTTCTGTAGGGAAAAAAACAAACAAAATAGATTAAGACAGTCTCAATTGATATAGTGATTCTTTTGTAATAATTCGCAAGGCAGTTCATTTTATAGTGTTCGACAGGCCATTTTTATTTATAGGCTGTGTGTGTGAGCATAAAAGAGGAAAAGAGAAGACTCTTTGACAGAACAGTAGGATACTGTAAAGAGGTTTAGAAGTTTGATTCAACAATTTGATTAGTTTTGCCAGTTCTTCTGTTTTGATATATGCGTATGTGTTACAGAATGGCAGAGCATATGATTTGCATTTTACAAGTCTTCAGTCTCCAGTATTTCCAGGTCTGAAATCCAGGAGAACTGCTGTCAGTCAGTATAGGATATTGGAGCTGAGATGACCAATAGCAGATGTGTGTTTTGTCAAATGCTATATTAATTTTACACCTCTGCATAACTATAAGTAGGATGGCTTGTTGCCATGGAGTTTATTAAAAATCATTATTTATTTAAAATTGAATTTTTATTTATTTGAAAATCCATTTTTCAGTATAAAATGGGGATTGTAAATTGTTATTCATGAAGATCTACACATCCTTCAGATTGGTAAGCGTGAGGTGCTTTGTCTCGTAAGTTGTGCAGGTGTTACCATTTAAGAATCGCATCCTCTTGAGGAGCAGAGCACTCCTCTCTGTTTTTACTATATGACAAGACAAATGCATTTGGATCCCTTGTCTTTGGTTTGATCTTCACTAATTTGTGTCAAGATGGTACAAAGAACAAGCGCCGTTAATTGGTTTTTGTTTTAAATGAGAACAATTCATTATGTGCTCAACAGGTTGATAAGGAGACAAACACAGATGAGAGGACCGAGAACGTGGCTGTGCGGCCCAAGGACAGAACCAGCCTAAAGTCTCAACAGCATCCCTTTGTCAGGAACAGCATGATCGTGCGCTCACAAACCTTCTCTCCAGGAGAGCGGAACCAGTACATCTGCAGGGTAAGATAAAGAGGGTTCTCCGTGGGGTCCTATTACGGAAGGACTCATTTAATTTCTTTGGCAATGGCATATTGCTGGCACTGAGCCATATCCGGAGTAGGCTGGCAATGTCCATCTGTCAGCTGCTAAGCTGTAAGAAATTCACACTTGTGGAATACATGTGGAAGCTCGCAATTCTTTCACAGTATATTGTTTAGATATTGAAACTTGCATTTTCATATCAAACTGAAATAAACTTTGACATTCCGTGCCTCTCCTGCAATCCTGTGCCCATATACATGGGATCACATAACATAGGGCACATCTGCATTGACCACTTACTGTGGAAGGGATGTATAGCAGCTCTGTGGCAACCAAACACCATAGATCAGCTCAGGCGGCCTGGAGACATGGGGTGGCACTTCCTGCCACTTCCATTCTCCATGTTGTGGCGGACTCCGGCCACTGTATGGGTCCTGTTGGTCAGCCATTGCTTGTAGTGATTCCTCCCCACTTCCTCAGATGTCCCGCCATTGTGCAGGCCAACCGGTAGGGCCCATATTTCAGCCAAAAAACAACATGGTGGAGGAAACTGTCGGGACCCAGACGCCTTAAAGAACCAGAATCAGGAGTATGTCCAAAAGAATAGTTTATTAAAGCAAAATAAACAAGACTCAGAGACACTTACTTCAGTGCCTCTGGTCAAAACTCAAACATTGCAGCAATTTCCAGCTTGTAAAACAAACTAAGGCAATAATCCGGATTATCCTGGCAAAAAATCCGGATTAAACAGGAGTACTTTCAAAACTCCCCAAAATCACACAGTAAATGGAAAACAATCAACCAATGAGCCATGAAGAAGAGCCATTGTCCAAATGAAGTCCCAAGTCGAAGAAATCCAAGTCCAAAGTTGCAAGGTTCCAAAGTCCACAAGGCAGCGTCGTCGTCACAAGCAGTCCGAAGTCAAGGAGGGGAGAAATCCGCACTTACGAGAATCCAAGCCAGTCAGTAACACAAAGCAAAACAGCAACCTGCAAATCCAGGTCCAAGCCCAATAGGAAAGCAGCAGCGACAAGACCCAAGGCACAAAACCAACACTTTGCCTACTGCAAAGTTCTACCCTTTCAGTGCCTACTTTTATCTTACAACTCATCATCCGATGATGAGCTGCCCTCCACCCCACCCTCATCACTCTCAGCTGGTTTAGCCTCCACAGCTGAGCGCCAACGCCCATCCCTCCAACTCTTCCACCTCTTGTCTAGACTTAGGTCTCCCCAGGATCTACAGTATCACCCGATTGCCAATCAGCGTACGCAACACCAGATCAGCCCTAGGACAGTGGGTCAGTGTAGATCAGTGGTTCCCAACCTGTGGCGCATGCACTACCAGTAGTCTGCAAGAACTAAAATATGGTCCACAGCCTCACCATCACTACACCATTGCAACAAGAGCGACTGGTCTCACGAAACCCACTTATAATGCCAAGGCTTATTAAATATGGTTTTCTGTGGGCGAACAGATGGCGTCTACTGGATGGCATGTGTTCTGTATCAGAAACTCGAGCTGATGTGGTCTATCCAATGCAGTTTTCTTGCTTGTCATCCGGGTTGCAGTGGCCAGTGCTGTGCTAAGGCTTTTAAGGCAGGAAGAAAAGTGGAAAATCAAGGCTTCTGAGCTTTAAAAGGGGCAGGGAAACCAGAGAGGATTCCTGGGGGTGGTGCTGGAAAGATTCCTGAAGTTTAAAAGTTTGGGCAGTGGAACAACAAGAGTATCTCTCCATGGACCCATTTCAAGCGTTAGATAAAGACTTGGGCAATGGCAGGTACACTTCAGTTCTTAATCAATCTATTTTGGCTGCTCCTAATTGCACTGTCTGCCTCTAGATGGTTTCAAATTGTTTTCGTATTCTTTGCATTGTTCATTCTCCATCTTACTTATTTTTTTGTGCAATAGTGCAGTGGGAAGCCAGCGTCTCTTTCCATTTGTACTTCCTCAGATGCACAAGTGACATTTAAGCACTAACATATGCCCATTACCATTGATGATCACTTAACAGCTCACTTCCTGTGGTAGGAAATCTAATGTCTCTTTGGGGAAAGAGAAGCCGAGATCACACAGCTATTTTTCAAATGCTAGGTACATCGGCATATCTTTAGGCTCGGAGCTCGTTAATTATTGAAAGTTCTGTGGTATAATTCTTGTAAATAATGTTGTTTAATATGCCTTCCAGAAGAATTGAGGTGGTTTATCTTTTTTTCCAAATTAAAGTTCTTAATATGACATTTTTGTTCAATGAATGCAAAGTACTCTTTCAAAATGTCATGTCTTGCCCATTCTTTTTGGAGACCATTCTAAACCTGTTTTTCAGCAGTTTGGATTTGTTAGTAATAGCTGGCTAAGTTTGGAGGAAGGCGTAAATAGCCCATTAGAGTTGCCCATCCCTGATTTATTGTATTGTCTCATTTGAAAATAGAATTGTGTGGTAATGGCTATGAACATAGTGCTGCATTTCCTAAGTGAAAGTACCAAAGGGACGAAGAAAAAAGTGTTTAATTTTTAAGGTGTTGCAACGTGTTAAACTGCTGAATTTGCTGACCAAAAGATCAGCAGTTTGAATCCGGGGAGCGGGGTGAGCTCCTGCTGTTAGTTCCAGCTTCTGCCAACCTTTCTTAGTTCAGGCACTCCCCAATTTACAAACATGCTGATCGGTCGGTGGTTAGAAACCATGGGTGGGGTGAGCTCCTGTTGTTAGCGATAGCCTCTGCCACCCTAGCAGTTCGAAAACATGCAAATGTGAGTAGATCAATAGGTACCGCTTCTGCGGGATAGTAATAGCACTCCATGCAGTCATGCCAGCCACATGACCTTGGAGGTGTCTACGGATAACGCCGGCTCTTCAACTTAGAAATGGAGATGAGCACCAACCCCTAGAGTTGGAAACTACTAGACTTAAAGTCAAGGGAAAACCTTTACCTTTACCTGTGGCACAGCTTGTTAGTAGCCAGTGCATTAAATCTCTACTGATTGAGACGTCATGAGTTCAAAGCCAGCCCAGGTCAGAATGAGCTCCCGGCCATTAATACTCTAGCTTGCTGTTGACCTATGCAGCCCGAAAGACAGTTGCATCTATCAAGAAGGAAATTTAGGTACCACTTATGTGGGGAGGCTAATTTAAGTGATTTACGATGCCATAAAAATCTCTAGGAAGTATGCAAAGAATGAGGAAGTACTTCATCAGTGACACAAACGGACGGTGAAGCGACAGCTTCCCTGGTGGCCAGAAGCTAGAATGTTAAATAGCCTCTGAGTGTCTGTCTATATATGTTGTGTGTGTATGGCATTGAATGTTTGCCATGTAATTTAACTAATTTACCACACCATAAAGCCTTCCAGCAGTGTGTGTAAGAATGAGGAAGTACTCCATCAACGACTCTGTCACAAATGGACAGTGAAGCAGCAGCTCCCCCATGGCCGGAATCAAGCATACCCTCATGAAGCCGGAAAAAGCTGGAATGTTAAATTGCTTCTGTGTCTGCCTACATATGTTGTATGTCTATGCTTTTACTATTTCCCTTGATTTTAAATTGATGATGTTGCTCTGTAGCATTTCTTGTTGTTTTTATGTGCCTTCAAGACCTTTCTTTCTTGTGACAAGCCTATGATGAACCTGTCAGAGAGTTTCTTTATAAAGATTTTTTTTTCAGAGGGGGGCTGTTGTTTATTCGTTCAGTCGCTTCTGACTCATCGTAACCTCATGGAGGAGCCCATGCCAGAGCTCCTTGTTGGCCGTCACCATCTCCAGCTCCTTCAGAGTCAAGCCCATCACTTCAAGGATGCCATTCATCCATCTTGCCCTTGGCCGCCCCCTCTTCCTTTTTCCTTCCATTTTCCACAGAATCATTGTCTTCTCCAAGCTTTCCTGTCTTCTCATGATGTGGCCAAAGAGGGGGGTTACCATTGCTTTTTTCTGAGGCTGAGAATATGACTTCCCAAGGTCGCCCGGTGGGTTCTTATGGCTAAGTGTGAAGTTGAACATTGGTCATAGTCTAATCATAGGACCTCATCACAAAGGCCCATGGATTCGCCACACATTGTGGCAAATCCACAGACTCCCAGTGGGGAGCATGAAGAAGCCGTCACTCCACAACCCGCATTGCCCACCTTACCGTTACCCCATCTCATGGGGGGAAGTGTTGCTGCCTGGCTTCCATCCATTGCTGGCAAATCAATATGCAGCAGCAGCATATAACACTGCCTATCCTGTTTCGGCACAGAGTCCAGCTGGAAATCCTTGTGCATTGTCTAATGGGCTGCCTGCTGAAAGTGGAGAGGAAGCAGTGTACAACAGGTAGATCAGCCCATCTGATGAGGTAGATAATCAAACATTCAAAGCAATACACTTTGCTCGTTCCATACAAATATGGCTGTACTTATTAAATCTGTGCAGCCTTCAAAGAACTTTTCTGTAGAGTAGTAATGATGTTCCATCACACTATCCAATGTCAACAATTGTTACTTTAGCCACTGATAAAAAACAGGCTTTCCTTTGAAGAGCCAGACAAAGGCTTACCTTAAGCAAGTGACAGATGCTCATGCTTTGAAACTAGAAGGCAAGGAAGCAGTTGGTGGTGTCTGTGCAAATACCGTGGAATCATTTTCATAATGAATTATGGACAATTGATCTGTGGCTTTCTAACAACTTTGCTTTGATGAATAGCGTGCGAGACAGAATATGGCCCATTGCCAAAACTACATGCAGTAGGTTACTCTTGGCAAATTTAATGTTAAGGTTTGTCTGTTTCTGATCCAGCCACCTCATATTATAAATCTTCTCTGTTCCTTGTCTTGACAGTTGAATCGAAGTGATAGTGACAGCTCAACATTGGCCAAAAAGTCTCTCTTTGTGAGAAATGCCACAGAGCGGCGGAGCTTGAGAGTTAAAAGGGTATGTGCTGTTTGACCGTTTGCTCATTTTTTGCCGTTCTTTCCCATTGTTCAGCAGATTTAGAAATATGAAAAAAAAAGATGAATCCAGAAAAAAGCTTCATCCCTGAAACGTTCTGTCTGATACGCTAGACTTCCAAGTGACAGTGGGTGTTGTAGAAAAAGAAGTATAATCTAATCCTATTGCTTGTGCGCATTTTAAAATGTGAAAATGAATTCGCCCCAGTTCTGTAGTTCTTTAAAGCCAGGATGTTGCTTTGGAACATTGAGGTTAGCACTAATGTTGGCATATTAACATTAGATTGCTAAAGTAAATTGATTCAGTAATGTCAGTCTCTTGAGAAAAATTATAAAGGTGAGTAATACGTTCCTTAGAAGTCATTTCAAATGATTGAAACCTGTAAAAATTAAAGCAGCAGGAAACTGTAGTCATTACACTATTTATTTATTTATTTATTTATTGTGTCAGAAGCGAACCAAGGGTACAGTTGTAATGTATTTATTTTTAAAAACACAAGTTTAAAAACTTGTCATGATACTAAATGTCCTCTGACCAGTAGCTGGCCACTTGTAGTGCCTCTGGTCCTCCATTGTGCATGTGGCAGGGCTCAGACTGCATTGTAATAGGTGGTCTGTGGTTTGCTCTTCTCCACACTCGTATGTCATGGACACCACTTTGTGGCCCCATTTCTTAAGGTTGCCTCTGCATCTTGTAGTGCCAGAACGCAGTCTGTTCAGTGCCTTCCAAGTCACCCAGTCTTCTGTGTGCTCAGAAGAGAGTCTCTCATTTGATATCAGCCATGGCTTGAGGTTCTGGGTTTTAGCCTGCCACTTTTGGACTCTTGCTTGCTGAAGTGTTCCTGCTAGTATCTCTGTAGATCATAGAAAACTATTGAAAATAACAGAATTTTGAAAACTGGGAATGGGAGCAATTTAACTAGTAATTTTGAAGATCAACCACTGAATTACAATATGTAACAAAATCTGAATTTTTGTCTGTTTCTGATTTGAAAGTGTTATTTCCTGTTTAATTGTGCGGTACTTACTTTGAAAGTAGTTGCTCTACTCCAGAAACTTCATTTTTGTGGCTGCCACAGACTGTGTTGACTTAGTTGAGACTCTATGAGATATTCATTGAAAAACTATAGCAAAACGTGCTGCAGGATGTCCTGTCCCCTCCCCCACACACTGCAAAAACTAAATTTTTGCAATTTAATAAACTGTTTCCATGTTTTAACAATACAACCAATTAGGAAATGATATTTATAACCCAGGAGCAAAAATTGTTATTGCGGTCTGCACAAAGGTTTAAAATGGCAGCAACAAAACCTGAAGTTTCTTGAGTAACTACTTTCAACTACCACACAATTAAACAGGAAAAAAATTCAAACCAGGAACAGAATATTTTTCAAATTTTGTTACATAGTATAATACTAATCACTGTTGGTTTTTGATGGAGATGGTATTGGGATGATATACATTTGCATCCTAAATCTGTAATAAAAAGTGTTGTTGTTTTTTATAGAGCATGTTATTGAATTAGTTCCTAACAGACAATGAATTATTTTTGGCTCTTAAAAACCCAATTCATTAATGTTTGGCAAGCGTCACAAATAGTCCAGTTTGAGAAAGCTAAGTAAAGAGTAGTGATCCTGTAGCATTTAGCATAGTTACAACTTCATTTAAGTAAATGCTACATATCTGCAAACATGGTGTGTACAAAAGTTTTGTATGTATGCACAAAAAAAATTAACTTGAGATGATTCAGGTAAGTGTGGTAGCAGAACCTCATGGTGTTTTCATTCATATTCTGTTCTACTTTATTTCCCTCTAAACATTCATAAATGCCATACATAGCCTGCTTGCCAGCCCAGCATGCGACGAGCAACTCGGGAGCACCTTGTCCGCACCTCTCTTGACTTGGAGCTGGATCTCCAGGCTTCTCGGACGCGACAGAGTCGCCTGGATGATGAGCTACAGATGCTTCGCGATCTTAAGCAGAGGCTCGAGGAGATGAAAGCCAGAGGGAAGACCGAGCTTCCTCCCTGCGTGTTGGAGGACGAAAGATTCCAAAAGCTCTTGAAACAAGCTGAAAAACAGGTATAAACATCAAACCACGCTTCTCTACATGAGAGAGGAGGACCCATGTGAATTTACAGTGTCTACATGATTTTAAAATACGTACTCTTGAAGTTGCATGTGTTCAAATTAGGTTGAAATATTTAGCATCTGGACTTCAGAGATATGGTATCTGTCGGTCATTTAGATTTGTAAAGCTTTCCTTTCATCTTTGTAACCACAGATGAACAGATCCAAGATGTTGATACCTAATTTTTAATACTTGACTTTTATAACATCCTCAGATCATTCCATTTGTGGCAATGTGGGAGGAATTTGTTTCATCTTGTCTTAAAATTGCCTCTCTATAAAGTTCAGGTGTCTCCTGTGTGCTTGCATCTAAGAGTTAATCACTTTCCTATTATTACTATTCCCATGCCTTTCATTATTTTGTAACCTCTCATCTCACCAGCAGCTTTCTCCTAAATGTGAAGCATAGATGGGGAACCTCTGACTCTTCCAATGTTGATGAGCTCCAGATTGCATCAGCCCTGTCTATGTGGTGTAAGGATCTGGCAGTAGTCGTTCATCTACATTTGGAAGGGCTGCGGTTCTTTACTTTTGGGGTTCATAAACCTTTTCAAATAAAGAAAATTGTTCAATTGGGTTTAAAGCTCAATTGCACATTGTATGGCAGTAAACAATGGACACATTATTTTCCCATACTGTTTCCCTGTGCTTTGCAGAAAGGAATCTCTCCTGGAAAAAAATGAGTATGCTACAGACATAGATACAGCATTTGTGCAAAATAAATGTACAAGCTGGTTGTGGCATTGATTTCTTATAATATTTAAAGCAGTCACCCACTTTCTAGGGTTCTAGTTATAATGAATCTACATGCTCTACCTCAGTGGTTCTCAATCTTCCTAACGCTGCAACCCCTTAATACAGTTCCTCATGTTGTGGTGAACCCCAAACATAACATTATTTTCATTGCTACTTCATAACTATAATTTTGCTACTGTTAGGAATTGTAATGTAAATATCTGATATGCAGAATATATTTTCATACATTGGACCAAATTTGGCACAAATGCCTGATATGCCCAAATTTGAAAACTGGTGAGGTTGGGGGGGGGGGTTGATTTTGGGAGTTGTATTTGCTGGGATTTATAGTTCGCCTACAATCAAAGAGCATTCTGAACTCCACCAACAATGGAATTGAACCAAATTTAGCACACAGAACTCCCATGACCAACAGAAAATACTAGAAGGGTTTGGTGGGCATTGACCTTGATTTTTGGAGTTGTAGTTTACCTTCATCCAGAGAGCACTTTGAATTCAAACTATGATAGATCTGGACCAAACTTGGCACGAATACTCATTATGCCCAAATTTGAACACTGGTGGAGTTTGGGGAAAATAGACATTTTCCCAAATAGACATTTGTGAGTTGTGGTTGCTGGGATTTATAGTTTGCCTACAATCAAAGAGCATTCTGAACTCCACCAACAATGGAATTGAACCAAACTTCCCAAACAGAATCCCCATGACCAACATAAAATATTGTGTTTTCTAATGGTCTTTGGTTGAGAAACACTGCTTTACCTAGATTTATCCCAATGTGTATAATGATGATTCAGTAAAAGGAATTTCAATGCACTCAGTTGGCACAAAGACAGAGCCACCTTAAGAAGATGTTCTCTACATATAAAACAGGCCTCAAACACTTTCCTTTTTTTTTTTTTTACCAAAGAGAGCTTTTTTGGACAGAAAGAAAAATGTTCCACCGCCACCAGAGGAGACCCGGCTGAAGTGCGACAGCTTCTGCAGAAGCAGCACAACCCGAGCAAGAGAGACAATTCCTTCCTCCAACGCTTTCCCTCCTCTTGTCCCTCTCGCTCGGGTGGTGCTGCTTCTGCAGGAGCTGCCGCAGTTCAGCCAGGTCTCCTCCAGTGGTGGCCCAGTGCAGCCTGGCCTGCTCTTTGCTCCAGACTTTTTTGCCCCCGCCTGGCCCAGGGGCAGCAGCTGCCCGAGAGAGGGAGGAAGGGAGGGGAAATTGGAGAGAAAAGGGAAGGCAAAGTGAGAGAGAGAGAAAAGGGAGGGAAGGCAAGGAGGGCCACGCAGGGAAAACCGCGAAACAGCGAGTCCACGGTAACCAAACCGCAAAGGAGCGAGGGAACACTGTAATATTTGTTTTTCATGAAGCAAAAATGTGCCCACTGTAAGAAATACTGTGTGCATTAAAATGTAAAAGTCAATAGCTACTTTAAGGCTTTTAGTATACTAATGTAAACAGTTACGACAGGCACTAAGATAGCAGTACCTTTATTAACGCAACGGGAAGGCATTTAATAAAACTAATGAACATCACAGGCAGTAGATAAATGGAAGATAATTTAGGTGATTTGAGGTATTAGACACCCTTAATTGCCACAAGTGTTTTCAAGCACTTGGCTGAACATTGCCTGATTAGAAAACTCAAGGCATACCTGTTTCTTAATTCATCCCAACAATCTGCATAAATGAAATGCTGGTTATGCAAAAAGTAGTGGAGAAATCGGGATTTCTTGAGGCTCAGCATCTCACTTGAAACTGCCTTAGTCTATCTGCCAGTCTCTAGTAGACAATATTTCCATGCCAATAGAGCTTCCTTCTGAGCTGCAAACTCCTGATGTACAAACACTGGCACATAGATTAAAATCCCTTTAAATGCTTTGCCAAAAATTATGGAGTCCTTTTTATGCACCCGGCAGCTTGATGAAATCAGCTGCAAGATACGTTAGTTATGATGCCAGTATGTCTTTTTGTCTTTATTTGTGCTGAAGGCAATTTGCAAGGTGTTCTTTCTCAGATTCCTTTGAGCCTTCTCTCATACTGTCAATTACTGTGTGTTAGCTGTAGTTTTGTTCCCTCACCAGGCTGAACAATCAAAGGAGGAAAAGAAAAGGGGTTTAAGTGCGGAAAAATTGATGAGGAAAGCGTCGAAGGATGTGTGTCGGTTGCGAGAGCAGAGCCAGAAAGTGCCGCTGCAGGTGCAGTCATTCAGGTAGAGAGAATTTGAATCTCTTGAGAGTTTAGAAGATCTGTGATAATATTTAAGTTGGCCTTTTCATCTTAATATACATCCATGGAATTTAATATAAATAGTTTATTTTAAGTTCAAGGTAAGTTTTACCATTTAGTGCTTTAGGAAAATTAAAATGAGAAAGCAAATGAATGATTATCACCCAGGAATGTGATGTTCTTAGGGTGGTAGCAAAAGGCTTTTATGGCCTGCAATAAATCCTCACCCAAGTTTCATCCTTTTTAAGAACATAGGAACAGTCATGCTAAATCAGAGAAAGGTCAATCGAGTTCAGTATTCTAGAATATTAGTCAAGATGGAATATTATTGATTCCATCTTGGCGGAAGAAGCCGACAATCACCATGTAACTTATAGAAGAGTTATTTTTATATTTTTGTATTTTTATACATTTTTATATTTAATCATAATACTTATGACGCTTGACAGATCAATTTACTTCTCTTTAGCCAAAATGGTTGAATTTGTTTTAATTGTATGTGTAAATGTTTAATGGTTATAATTGTATATGGCATTGAATGTTTGCCTTTTGCTTTTGGAAGCCACCCTGAGTCCCTTCAGCAGGTTAAAAATAAAGATTTATTATTATTTTATATTCCCACAAAGACCTTTTCATATCACACAGTTATAGCACTATGATTCCACTTTTAAATGCTATCTTATGGAATAGTGTGGGGTTTCCAGTTTGGATAGAGGCCTTGGAGGAACTGTCTGGCAAAGAATTATAAGTATTCCTCCCTAAACTTCCAAGTTATATTGAACATCCCATATCCAGAAATCCAAAATCAGTACTGTTCCATTATCCGGGCGGAGGCCAAAAGGGGGCCTAAACAGAGGAGGATAGTCCATTTTACTGGGGGGGAGGGATAGAAGGAGGAAAACAATTTCCCCCATTTTCACTGGCAATTCCTCCCCCCGTGTTGATTCCACGACTTCGACATGGGTGACCGGAATAACAGGAAAACTGGAGGAAATTGTTTTCCTCCTTCAGCCCCCCACCCTAAAATGAACCATCCTTCTCTGTCTAGACCCCCTATTGGCCCCCACCCAGATAATAAAACAGTAGCCCAAAATCTGTATTTGAATAGTATTTGAATAGTTTTAATGATGTTGCACCCCATCTCATGTTTCAAGGAGAGACGAGTACTATTCTTATTCTTATTATTATTATTATTATTATTATTATTATTATTATGAGCCCCCGGTGGCGCAATGGGTAAAACCATTGTGCCAGCAGAACTGCTTACCAACAGGTCAGCAGTTTGAATCCAGGGAGAGCGGGTTGAAATAATTTAAAATATTTTTAAAATAGTAATAGCAACAACAACAACCCTCTCTTGGTCCCACCTCAGTCGTAAGCACGGTTGGTAGGGACGAGAGACAGGGCCTTCTCAGTGGTGGCTCCTCGGCTCTGAAACTCTCTCTCCAGCGAGATTAGATCAGCACCCTCCCTCCTGGCCTCCTGGTTGTGGGATCAAGCCTTTGGCCGGTAAAATAATGCAGTGCAAAGTATAATTATGAAAGATGTGCATTGACAAACAGAATGACCATGGTGTACAATTTTTGAATTATCTGATTTTTAACATTTATACTAGGGTGTTTTTAATGTTTTTTAATGCTGAAATGTTGTTTATTTCTCACGTTTAATGGTTTTAATTATTTTCATTTATAGTTATATGTTAGTGTTTGGTTATTATGATTTTTTTTCTATCTACATACATTGAATTTTTGCCATTAGTATGTTGTAAACCTCCTTGAGTCCCCCCTGGGGTGAGAAAAGTGGTATATAAATATAGAAATAAATTATTATTATTATTATTATTATTATTACATGTTCACTGATGGTTTAACCATTTAAACTATATATTCCTTTTTGTGTGTCTTTATATTTTTTTAAGGGAGAAGATTGCATACTTCACAAGAGCAAAGATCAGTATACCATCTCTGCCAGCGGATGATGTCTAATTTTGTTTTCTACCACAAGATGTTTTCTACTTATTCATCTGTTCTTTTTTAAAAGATTACCATTTTTATAGTGTAGTTCTAGTTTTAAAAAAATGTTCCACTTTACATCGATTCATAGGTATTTTCTGTAAAACTAAACTCCACAATACAGTGTGCTCATATGCACATTGCACACACACATGCCTTAAAGACAGGAAAAACCCCTTCTCTCTTCTACCTACTTTAATCTTTCATTACCAGAAAACCAAAGTAGTATATTTCTGGTATTCCGATGCTAATTTTGTACAGTTTGTATGTACTACAGATATGCTACTATTTTGTAAAGATGTATCTAAGGAACAAAGGCAGTACCTTGTGTGTGTATATCCTGTCGAACTGCACTGTGTCGAGAAATATTATGTTCAGCAGGAAGTTCCGTTTCACCTTTTTTTTCACAAGAGCAGACTGTGAAAATGGCTGTTAGGCCATGCAATATTTTTGTACAAAGTGTGTTGGGTTTTTTTTAAAAGCTAGCTAGCAATAAACTCAAGTCTTCTTCCAAAACAGCAAGGCTGCCTCATGCAAACAGGTGCTGTTTAAATTTCTGTCTCCTATGTTGGAACTTTGTAGTTGGAACCCATTTTCATTTTCTTTCTTTCTTGTTACGAGAGGCATGGGATACTAGCTGAAGGAGTATAACTTTGTGAATGTATTGGATTTAGGCCTCTATTGAGGTTAATCAAGTCTCTTTGCATTTAAACTCTGAAAGAGAAGTAATGTGGGGCAAGTCTAACCCTGAAATGTGTGTAAACTAAAACTACCCAAAGGCAGCTGTTTTCTGAAATTACGCTCAGGTTCACACCCAAAGTACTCAAACCTGAGTCATCAAATACTGAAATGCAAAGCTAGCGTATTAATATAGCATTGTATATTGAGTACCCCAGCTAGAAGCCTGTAGGAGAGTCAGTTTTGTAGAGTCCAAACAGACTCATGCAGTTTTCAGAGGAATAGTACTTAGACTGATGAATTTCCTAAAAACCAAATATCTATTATTGTTAATATAGAAATTCCTTCCGAGAAAATCCCAAGATTTGGAGCACTTAAAATGACGTATGAATAGGATAAAGATTTAAAAGTAGAATAAAGAATAAAGTAAATGATGTAGGTCTGTTCTTAAATTAATTGTGGCACAGTATCTATGGGGTTAGAGCAGATATGGCCAAACCCAGGCCCAGGGGGCAGATGCAGCCCTTTAGGCTCTTTTCTCAGGCCCTTCTCTCTCTCTCACCATCCTTTCCTTCCTTCTCTCTTTCCTTCCTCCTTCCCTCTCTCCCTCTTTCTCCTTTCTTCCTTCTTTCCTTTTTGTCTTTCCTTCCTTCTCTTTCACCCTTTCATCCATCCTTCCTTCTCTTTCCTTCCTCCTTCCCTTCCTTTCTTCCATCCTTCTCTTCCTCCTTTTCATCCTTCCTTCACTTTTTCTTCCTCTTTCCCTTCCCTCCTTCTTTTTGGTTTTTTCTTCCTTTCTTCCTTCTTTTTCCTTCCCCCTTACATTCCTCCCTTACCACCCTCTTTTTTCTTCTATACTTCAATTCCACCATCCCTTCCTTCCTTCCTCCTTCCCTTTCTCTCCTTCCATCCTTCCTTTCCTTCCTTCCTTTTTGTCTTTTCTTCCTTCTCTCTTTCCTTCCCCCTTACCTCCTTCTTTCTCCTTCCATCCTTCCATTCCACCCTTCCTTCCTGCCTTCTTTCTTTCCTTCCCCCTTACCTCCCTCCCTTATTTCCCTCTTTCTCCTTCCATCCTTCCATTCCTTCCTTCCTTTCTTCCTTCTCTCTTTCCTTCCCCGTTACCTCCCTCTTTCTTCTTCCATCCTTCCATTCCACCCTTCCTTCATTTTTGTCCTTTCTTCCTTCTCTCTTTCCTTCCCCTTACCTCCCTCCCTTACCTCCCTCTTTCTCCTTCCATCCTTCCATTCCAATCTTCCTTCCTTCCCTCTTTCCTCCCTCCCTCCCTATCTCTCCTTCCATCCTTCCCTTCCTCCCTTTTATCCTTCCTTCCTTCTCTCTTTCCTTCCTCCTTCCCTCCCTCTCTTCCTTCCTTTTTGTCGTTCTTCTCTCTTTCCTTCCCCCTTACCTCCCTCTTTCTACTTCCATCCTTCCATTCCACCCTTCCTTCCCTCTTTCCTCCCTCCTTCCCTCTCTCTCTTTCCATCCGTCCCTTCCTCCCTTTTCTCCTTCTTTCCTTCTCTCTTTCCTTCCTCCTCCCTTCCTTCTTTTCACCACAGGGCAGCCAGCCCTCTTAGCAGGGAGTTCTATCATGTGGCCCCCAAGTTAGAAAGTTTGCCCATGTCTGGGTTAGAACCTAAGTTTCTTTAAACAGAATTTGTATTGATGAGAAGTAAAAGACGATATGAATGTGTTTGTCAGAATTTGAATTGGAAACAAAATGTTCTGTACCCTTAGCATGTAATAGAGGTTGGTCTGAGTGTTATCTGGCAGTAAGTAGCTGATTAGGTCTGATGTCATCATAATGAGACTTACGGGACAAAGCAGTCATCACTTTGTCATTAGATTAACTGCCGTTGCGATGTTTCAAGAGAAACTTGGCAACCCAGATGTAGGCACTTGATTTCTAAGAGAACCTCGGAGATCTAGAAGTGTACTAAATTAAGGCTGCATTCAATATGGTATACATTTATAGGAGCACTCAGCAATCTGTCCACATATTGTGTATATATCCTGGAATTTCAGGAGTTGGTGGAGCAATTTTGGAGCCTTTTGATGAGCACAAAGAAGTTATCCTGTCTTCTTTCATATGCAATACATATTTACAAATACATATGGTAAACAAAGAAAACAAAGATTGGAGCTCCTTGAACACTGTCCACTATGCAATGTATCAAATGTTGGCATATTGTATTTTATTTTCCTGAGAATGTTAATAGACTTCTTGAAAGATTAGATGAATATAACAAGAATATGTTGATTGCCATCTTTAGAATTGTGCCTTAAATGTGTTTTTCTAAATCTCTCCCAAGTGTTCTCTTACGATGCACAAGTCTGTATTACTGTTCAGGTCCTTTAAACATTATAACCAATCTTGAGATAGTTAACTAACTGTGCCTGATATATGTCATGGATTCCCCCTTATTGTTCTGCCCATGTTTTAGAAGTGATTCAAACACATGCATACTTCCATTTCGCTGAGGTCAATCTCTAAAAGCTAAGGTTTCAAGATTATTTAATATAGAGACGAAGGTTGACCGCTTCAACTTCTCAGTTTGACAATATTAATATGTTTGTAGAATGATGTATAGAGTTGTACCTTGTGATTTATTTATTTTCAGTCTTATTTATGTACTTCTTAATATAGTTCAGTTCTGTGCATTTAATGATTGCGGGTTAAAAAAAGCTACTGTGAGGAAATGTATGCAGCTCTCTAGTTTCGTGGGAAGCTAAGGTGTTTACAAATAGACACACAAGTCAATGAAATTCAGAGGAGACTAGAAAGGATTCGTTGGTTGCTTATTTATAAAATAAGAGAACTCTTCCATGCATTAATACATTCTCTCACAGAGACCACAGTAATATCAATTCATTTTTAGGAGTACAATTGGTTTGGCTCTTCTCATCCAGTTTATTTGTGTTTATTAAACAACAGTGATGAAACATCCTTGGAAAACGCAAATATGGGCAAAAGACAGTCAAGTTTCATGCATAGAGATAACAACTATTATCATTGGTTTTAGCCTTCACAAGATTGAACAAAAAGTACAAATGTAATAATCCTCCTATTTTGTCTATCAGTAAGTTAGTACAGTTCCGTATATCAGATCCTAAGTATTACAGGTACAAGACAATATTATTACTTAGCCAAATGAACAAAGTATAGTAAACTGTTTATAGGCTGAAAATCAAATCAAGGCTTTTTACCTAATTTTTACATTTTAAGTATAAAATGCTCAGGACTGAACTAAATATTTAATCAGGTTATATTACAAATGTCTTTCTATCCTAATACTGTCTGTTAATGTACACATGTACATCACCTAGATTAACTTTCATCTCTGCACTTTTCATTTGTTTCAGTGATTTGGAAAAAAATACAGTTTTTTAACAAATCTTCCTTGTTTTATGAGTGTTCTGTTTTTCACAAAATTATCAGTCACTGTGTTTTGTTCACTGTAAGTTTCGTACATGCAAAAGGTTAACTTTTATCAAGGTTTAGGCTGTGAATATCGGTGGGCATTCAATCAATATTATGCATAACAACGCTGCATCGAAGGTACATACATACACATAGAGGGATATATGGCTATATGAGTGTGGTTTTGTATTATTATTAATTGTGTCAGAAGCTACTTGAGAGAACTGCAAGTCGCTTCTGTTGTGAGAGAATTGGCCATCTGCAGAGACATTGCCCAGGGTGGGCATTTAATCAGTATTCTGACTAACAACACTGCATCGAAGGTACATACATATGCATAGAGGGATATATGACTATATGAGTGTGGTTTGTATTATTATTATTAATTGTGTCAGAAGCGACTCGAGACACTGCAAGTCGCTTCTGGTGTGAGAGAATTGGCCGTCTGCTGAGACGTTGCCCAGGGTGGGCATTTAATCAATATTATGAATAACAACACTGCATTGAAGGTACATGCATACACATAGATGGATATATGACTATATGAGTGTTTTTGTATTATTATTATTTGTATTATTATTATTGTGTCAGAAGCGACTCAAGAAATTGCAAGTTGCTTCAGGTGTGTGAGAATTGGGCATCTGCCGAGATGTTGCCCGGGGGACGGCTGGATGTGTTACCATCTTGTGGGAGGCTTCTTTCATGTCTCTGCATGGAAAGCTGGGCTGACAGACAGGAGCTCACCTCGTCTCGGGAATTTGAACTGCCGACCTTCAGGTCAGCAGTTCAGCCAGCACAAGAGTTTAACTCATTGCACCACCATGGCTCCTACATAAGTGTGTGAGAAAGATGCTTTCCGATCATCACAACTTCAAACTGGATTGTAGCATCAAAGAGTGCCTCGTGTTGTTCGAAAATCCAGGAATATCGTAGTCCTATCCTTTTCTTAAGTGCATGATTAAACTGAGAAATTTCGAACTAGTCTTGGAGGGATGAACATGAATAATATCCTTGCCCTTCTCATTCCTCTGAATGTGAGGAAGATTGCATTTAAGTCTTAAGTTCCTGGCAGCAGTTCAACCACTTTTCCAACATAAACAATTAATGGAGGTCTTTTAAAATAGTCAAGAATATCTTTGAGCTGCTATTTTCACAAATCAAGTGATCACAGACGTCCAGATACCTCAATAGATCTGCATGGAATTATTTGCATTTGGGATTAATTTACTCTCAATTTTTTACACTTTTTATATTTAGCAGTAAATAGTTTAGTATTAAAATGCTTACTCAAAAAGTACACACTTTTGAAGTTTTTGTATGTCGATAAGACTCCGTCATCCTTAAAATATGCGTATGTGACTGCAGTGTGAGTTTCAAGTTGCTGATAGTATCTTGCATTTATGCCATTGTCTAACAGATTGAAGCATTACATTAAATAAACTTAAGAGGAACAGGCTGAGAAGTAAAGCAGGAATGTACTAAAGTGACCAAAAATGGTATGTTCATGCATTCACATCTGGTAGCAATCTTTGCGTAGCCTTGTTCCAAATAACTATAATATAGTATACTTTAGGAAATGGTAAAAGCCAGACATAATTATACTTGCATTGCTTTCATTGTTTTGTTGTCCCAACTTTAGGCAATTATTGATGTGTCACACATGATAAAATAGATTTTAAAGAATGTTTTATACTTGAGGCCAAGATAAACAAAAAAGATTTAAATTCTTCCATTCCCTATTTGAACACATACATGCCTTTCCGTGGGTATTTAGGCAATTTCAGCTTTGCTACGTATTAAACCCAATAGTTATAATTTCCTGGCAAAATACTGGAAAAGGTTCATCAACTACACAGGCAGAAGTGTAAAAGCATTAGCATTAAATTAAAAACTCATTACAAGTAGAGAATTTGTTGGGAGTGATTATGGGATTATTAGTACAACTGCCTGTAAACAGATACTTACAGTATATTATATTGATTTTCAACTTTGTTTTGCCAAAGAAAATCAGTCCATTATTTATTTGCTGGTTCCCTTTAGAAATATTTTACATACAAAGAAACAATGACAAGCCTTTGCTGTGAGTTTTCCGGGCTGTATGGCCATGTTCCAGAAGAACATGGCCATACAGCCCAGAAAACTTACAGCAACCCCGTGATTCCAGGCACAATGACAAGCCTTTGTTTGTAAGTAGTCAATCCATTTTCCACAGAAGTTAAAGCACAAACATGATTGTTTATCTATGTACAGGTAACAGTATTAAATCCCATACTTGCATAACTTGTAAAAATGTAGTACAACATATATTTATGCAGAAGTAGGTCTCCTTGAATGCAATGAACTCAATAAGTGGCTATAGGATTACAACCATAGGGTGTAATTGAGCAAATAAAGTGGGTAATATGAGGCTATTTAAATAAAGTAATCATATATGGAACATATGGGTAATTCAGTTTCTTCTAGCTGTAAACAAAAAAGGGGCTACCTTCATAACTTAAAATGAATGCCATATTTTCCAGATTTTAGGATGCATATTGTGATCATGCATGCCAAAAACATATAAGAAAAGCACAGATTCTTTACATGAGCAATGTTTAACATTAATTCCATAGGATTGTTTGGCCACTATCTTAGATTTTTAGAAGGCAGAAACTAGAGTATCCAGATGGAGAAAACAAATAAGTTGCCATTTTTCATATGTTAATATGATTTTACTAGTTGGTGATAGCAAACCCCGGTGATGCAGTGGGTTAAATCGTCAGTCAACGGTTCAAATATAGTGAGAGCAGGTTGAGCTCCCTCTGTCAGCTCCAACTCCTCATGCGGGGACATGAGAGAAGCCTCCCACAAGGATGGTGAAAAACATTAAACATCCAGGCATCCCCTCGTCAATGTCCTTGCAGACAGCCAATTCTCCTACACAGGAAGCGACTTGCAGTTTCTCAAGTTGCTCCTGACACGGAAAAAAAAATCAGTGATAGTATTGAAATCTTTAAAATGCCAGTGTTGCAAGATAATCCATGCCTCAAATTTTAAAGATGGCTTGTCAGTCCATTCGCATGAAACATTTTTGTAGCAGAAACCTAAAACCACAACATTCCCCATATCTTTGGACTTGCAGAAGTTGGCCATGGAAATCAGTTACTACAATTATTGATGCGTAGCTGTGTAATGAGGACTCATATTCCATTTTCCAGTGTCTTACATGAACTTTGGTTTTGTTTTGTTTGTGCATTTTTTGCTGAAGTCGACAGAACTAGATAGTGGCGATTTTCTCCAGTCGGTCATTTGAATCTCCTGTTGTGAAGCCAGCATTCTCAGCTTTGTAATAAGGAGGGTTAAACACTGCTCTTCAAATAAACAGCACAGGAAGAAAGTTTTAAAAAACTACGTGTAATGAATCGGCTAGGGAACAAAGAGTCCTTTGAATCTTAATTGGAACAAGGCTCTGGCTGGTGTTTTAAAGTGTCTGAAAACGAAGCCCTTCTATCGCTCTTAGATGCGTAAGCTTTTGGGTCTATTGTCTCTTTCCAAGCGTTGACAAGGCACTCGCACTTCTGGCGCTGTATAATGGACCAACGATGATTGAGTGTCAGTGGAACAAACGGCACAAAGTAAGAGCGAGCCTCCTAAGATGAGACAGAACCCGGCAAACCAGCCTACAAAGAGCGCTTCCCCAAAGTCCCACCTGGGCACGATGTCAGGAATGCTTTCATCCCAAAACTCCTGCACCGTTGTGTGAGCAACCCAAGAGACTGGGACTATGGCTGTAACTCCTGATACCCAGAAGATGATTCCTCCCAAGAACAGGAACCTCCTCTTCAAACGCTGTTGTTGTTCACCAATCTTCAGGCAGTCCAGTCCGAGACCTGAGAGCAGAAGGCCTGAAACTCCTAATCCGTCAGAAGTAAACATCAGAATCCGAGAAATTTTGAGCTCAGGGGGCAAAGCCAAAAAAGAGTCAAATTCCTTGCACTGCATGCCACCTTCTTCTTGGAAGACACAGGCTTGCCAGAGTCCCATTGTCCAGATCTCCAGCTCATTCAGTTCCAAGTTGAGACTCTTCCAAAGAGGTAGATAGGTCGTGAGGCAGGATAACACCCACCCCAACAAACACAACAAAATTCCAGCTAACTGCAACGTGGTTCGGGACATTAACGCCATTCTAAAGAACGAAATCGCTTGAATGGAAAGTCAACTCTATAAGAATGGCTACCTTATATGGCAGCTGCAGCTCTGGGGATCTTTAGCTCTTTGCTTCCTGGGATATAAGCTTTAGGTATTAACCCTTTCGAAGCTCTGAAATGTGTTTTTGTTCTTCCTGAATATAGCATTACTTGTAAAGGACGAAGGACTCTGCTTAACCATGAGTTAGGTTCTGTGATAAGGATTTGATCTGTTACCTTCCAATTTGCTTGGTAAAATTATATCCCAATGCCTGATGATTACAAGTCTAAGGATGAACAAAGAACGCTCTATGACCCCTCACCCTTTAAAAAACAACAGAAATCTTTGTGCTTCTATACGGATTAATTAGATTTTAAGTGGTGATAAAAAAAACCCAGCTCCGTCTGCAACAGGACTTCATTGTAATGGCTAAATTTGAGATTTCAGGGTTGCAAATCAAGGCCTTGTAAAGAAAGGTATACTGTTTTCCTATAATCTGTATCATTAGACTTCCTCAGTAGATGTATATGTACACCCAAAGGCTTATCCTTCATTCTCTTCGTCTTTCAGCACTACATGGAGGATTGCAAAAGAGCCTTTTCATGTGTTTTTATACAAGATTAGTTTTAAATAGGTTTTGTAATATGCCTGACCTTTTTAGAGTACAGTAAAGTAGGAGAGAAAGAGGTATTTTCATCAAACAGTCCTGAAAAATCCACTGCTGGTGACAGGACATTTTGAACAGTCAATTGTTGGTCCTATTTTAACAGTAAGGTATACTTTAACCGTCCTATATATAGATGAGAGGTTCCAACATTTTTCAAATCGTGACCCAATTTTATAGAGACAAGTACCCCAATACATTAAAAATAGGCTTTTTATAGGGTAAATGAAAACACACTGGAAATAGATTTTTCAATATAATATACACAAACAATAATAATAATGTATTGTCGAAGGCTTTCATGGCCGGAATCACTCAGTTCTTGTGGGTTTTTTCGGGCTATATGGCCATGTTCTAGAGGCATTTCTCCTGACGTTTCGCCTGCATCTATGGCAAGCATCCTCAGAGGTGAGGTCTGTTGGAACTAGGAAAAAGGGTTTATATATCTGTGGAATGACCAGGGTGTGTGACAAAGGACTCTTGTCTGCTGGAGCTAGGTGTGAATGTTTCAACTGACCACCTTGATTAGCATACAATGGCCTGACTGTTCCTGGAGCAAAATTTTGCTTGAAGGGTGATTAGATGTCCCTGCCTGTTTTTCTCCCTGCTGTTTTTATTTTTATTTTTTTTTAATACTGGTAGCCAGATTTTGTTCATTTTCCAGGTTTCCTCCTTTCTGGACACAGCATATTATTTGAGAACACAAATGCTGGACCACTCTCACAACCACCATGTCAGACTACACAGAGAAGCCATTGAAATCCACAAACATGTGGACAATTTCAACAGAAAGGAAGAAACCATGAAAATGAACAAAATCTGGCTACCAGTATTAAAAAATTCTAAAATTGCAACAGCAAAAACAGCAGAGAGAAAAACAGGCAGGGACATCTAATCACCTTTCAAGAAGAGTTTGCTCCAGGCACAGTCAGTCCATTGTATGCTAATCAAGGTGGTCAGTTGAAAGATTCACACCTAGCCCAACTTACAAAAGCCCTTTGTCTCACCCTGGTCATTCCACAGATATATAAACCCCCTTTTTTCCCAGCTCCAGCAGACCTCACCTCTGAGGATGCTTGCCATAGATGCAGGCGAAACGTCAGGAGAAATGCCTCTAGAACATGGCCATATAGCCCGAAAAAACCCACAAGAACTGAATAATAATAATAATAATAATAATAATAATAATAATAATAATGCTTTATTTATATACTACCCTATCTCCCCTAGGGGACTCAGAGCGGTTTCCACATATGCAAAATAATACAAAAACATACAATATAAAAACAAAACATAGGCATAAATTGTTAACACAACATATACATTAAAACCAGTTCTGCTTTCTTCATGTAAGTTGCCAGGGGCAAAATTTTCAATAAAGGGCCTGGACTATTTGGAACGGGCTGAGCCAAGGCTAGTGCAAAGAGAAGGGAAAAATGGGGCTGGCTGTATGCTACAGTGCAAGGATCAGTCTCAGCAATGGCAAATCTCTGCAATGCTGTGGTTTTTCCCCCTTTTTAACTTATTCATAGCTCACCCACAAAAAAACCCTTTGCAACCCCATTTGAGATTGGGAACTATTGATATAGATCAGTGGTTCCCAAACTTTTTTTGACCAGGGACCACTTTGACCAGAGACCACTTGACTGCGGACCACTCTCCAACATTAGTACCAAAAGGGGTACTAATGGTTAGCTCTGTGGAAAGGAGTGAAAATTAAATAAATAAAAAGGGAGGTTCACGGACAGGATTTTTGTTCTCGCGACCCACTGCTGAACCATGGCCCACAGGTTGAGAACCACTGATATAAATGAATAACAACCAAGCCTCTGTTTAAGGCATGTTACTTAATAATAATAATAACAACAACAATAACACACACACACCCCGATGGATGCCACCTTACCAGTAGTAAAGAACTGGTGGGATCATAAACCTGCAAAGTTTGTGGAAAACGAACACGCAAAAATACTGTGGGACTTTCGAATCCAGATTAATGAAGTTTTGGAACACAATACAGACATCACGATTGTGGAAAAGAAAAAAGTTTGGATTATTGATGTCGCCATACCAGGTGACAGTCGCATTGAGGAAAAACAACAGGAAAAACTCAGCCGTTATCAGGACCTCAAAATCAAATTGCAAAGGCTCTGGCATAAACCAGTCCAGGTGATCCCAGTGGTCATTGGCACACTGGGTGCCGTGCCAAAAGATCTCAGCTGGCATTTGGAAACAATAAACATTGACAAAATCACGATTTGTCAACTGCAAAAGGCCACCTTACTTGGATCTGCATGCCTCATTCTAAAATACATCACACAGTCCTAGACACTTGGGAAGTGTTCGACTTGTGATTCTGTGATACGAAATCCAACATATATATATCTTGTTTGCTGTGACATACTGCGTTTTTGTGTCAATAATAATATACTTTATTTATCTTCTTCTTTATCTCCCTGGAGGGCCTCAGAGCAGATTGTAGTTTTACATATATAAGGCAAACATCTAATGCCTTTTTGCACAGTAGACAACAACATATAATACACAGACAGGTAAAGGCCTTCCCCTTCCATTTCCAGCACCTGGGGGCAATGCTCAACTCTGGCCATGGGGAGGTGCTCTTGTTCCATTTTTCGAAGCCATGGAAGCTGTTGTTCATACACTTCTCTGATCATGTTGCTGGCATGTCTGCACGTCTGCATGGGGCGCTGTTTTACATCCCTGCCGAGGCGGTACCTATTGATCTCGATACTTTCAAACTGCTAGATTGGCAGCGACCCAAAAAAAAAATCACATCATAATACATTGAAAACCATAAAAGCAATAAACAATAAAATTATAAAAACTATATCTTCTTGTTCAGTTCCTCAACCATTTCATCGTTTTGGCCGTTCCTAGTTCATATTCCAATTTGAGATTATCTGGTCATGCTGAAGTTCCAAATGCTTGCTCAAAGAGCCAGGTTATCCCTCTTCTCCAAAAGGTCAGGAGGGCGGGGGCCGATCTAATATCCCTAGGCAGGGAGTTCCACAGCCAAGGGGCCACCACAGATAAGGCCCTGTCTCTCGTCCCTGCCAAACGCAGGGCCTCCTCAGACAATCTCAACTTCCTGGAAGGTTCATAGGGAGAGATGTGTTCGGATAGATAAGCTGGGCCGGAACCGTTTAGGGCTTCATAGGCTAAAGCCAACACTTTGAATTGTGCCCGGTAGCAAACTGGCAGCCAGTGGAGCTGGCACAACAGAAGTTGTATGCTCCCTGAGCATAGCTCCTGTTAGTAACCATTGACACATATAACTTAAAAATCATAAAGGAACAATGTGTCCACGTGGAAAAAAATCAAGCTGCTAGCACTAAAGAATAGTTGCCCAGTCTTTAATATGTTTTTTAATTTAAAAGTTGAGTGTTTTTGCTGGGTGAGCCTACCAAGTATTCTGTTTCCAACGACAGCTAGAAAACACTTTGCCCTGTGGCTACTGATTATGCTTTGCGTCTTTATTATACTGTACTATAAGGATTTGCACAAAGCACAACTATATTGTGCTATTGTTGCTTAAACAAAAAGCTTAACAAACATTTTTCAATTTACCCCCAAACAAAGGGATAAGGGAAGCTATTACATTCCAGCAGAGATGTATGTTTTAATCAAATTCATGTTTAAATAAATAATCAGTGCTAGCCTTTGCTTGTTTCTTTGTTTGTGTGTGCTTTGTTTTGTTTATTGGAGTTGGCATTTTGCATCCATCTTGTTTGAAAGGAAAACAGGAGCTTTTTCAGTTCTATGGCCGTGACAAATGGACTGGCAAACAGGGCACTTGCCCACATTTGCTTTATATGTATTTTGATCAGTCACATGGGCTTTGAGTCCTTCTGGAAAGCCCAAAAGTGGAATATGGCAGTGGAAGGGGACTTGAGTTACTACCATGTCTCAGCTTGTACATTCTACACCAAGGTAATATTCAGACTGTTGTAATGGCATGATCAATAGGCCATAGAGGACTTGCAAGCCATGTCTTCACAGTCTTCATCAATATTGTTCCATTAAGAATCATCTCTACCATTTTTGTGTCATAGCCACTGCTGTGGATGAATATAGGATTGTAACTGTCAGCCCCGGCTTAGTGAAAATCATCACAATAGGATTGGAGGACTTCCTTGCCTCCCTAAATTTAAATGAAGACCATTCTATAGCATTTAAAGCAAACCCAAAAAAGGCAACATATTATGTCCCTTTAAAATCCTGTAACAAAATCGGTGTGCCGTCGCGCCTGGGGGCTATAATTCTTAATGAAGGAGGCATGGCATATTTCCCCAGGGGATTGTTTCTTGCCCTC